ACACACACTCACTCACTCACTCACTCACTCACTCACACACACACACTCATTTGATTGTATGCATTGTCTTTAGGGTGCCTTACACAATCTGTCCAGGGACTACAGATGAAAAATAGCCTCTTGGCTAGCTCTGGAACATTTACAGAGATGTTGATAATGTGCACTGTCCCTGTTCAAATGAATAAATAAAATAAGTACAGGTGTTTCAGACTCCTCTTCTTCTCTCTCTTCTCTCAGGACTCCAGAACAGATGCAGTCGTGGATCACTCGCATCAACGTGGTGGCGGCCATGTTTTCTGCTCCTCCCTTCCCGGCGGCCATCGGCTCTCAGAAGAGATTCAGCCGCCCTCTACTGCCGGGGTCCAACACCAAACTCACACAGGTACACACACACACACACACACACACACACACACACACACACACACTCACACACCTGATCTGTTAGACCTTCCAGATGTGTTACCGGCTCCAGATGTTTCTCAGGTGAAAGCACGGCTTCAGGTGCACGGTTTATTTGTAATGTAGCAGTCCTCCATTGAAAGTGTAAAACAGCGGGACGGATGTTGATATTTACTTTTACATTACTTTTATTTGTTTATTTATTTTCTTTTTTCAGAAAATCTGACCTATTTAAAAACTCATTTAAAATTGTTTACCTCTTTCTATTCTCACATTTATTTCCTGTTTTTCTACATCGGGGGTCCAAACTGCGGCCCTTAGCAGATTCTTAAAGTGTACTGTGATCCGTCCCACACCTGAAACCTGTGTCGTATATTGTACTTATTAAATATATATGTACACGTATATTACACAGCAGTATGTGTTGATGATCCCACTTTTCAAATCAATTCAGTCAATTAAAACATGATCTAGATCTTCAGCCATCAGAGGAGCCTTTTGATTAGATCTTCTCCAGTTTCCTGTTGATCTTTACAGTTGTTGTTGTTGGTCAGGAGGAGCAGTTGAAGTGTCACGAGGGTCGCTTCAGGTCCGTCTCGTCAGATCTCTCAGAACTCTCCTCCGAACCCGACAGGAAGGTCAAAGGTCGCGAGATGGACGAGCAGAAACTGAGGCAGGAGTACCTGGAGTTTGAGGTGAACACACACACACACACACACACACACACACTCACACTCACACTCACACTCACACTCACAGACACAGACACAGACACACACACACACTCACTCACAATATTTAATGAAATAGATAAATATAAAATATAACTAGAGAATGCAATTCCTGAAGAAATTGCTAGTGGGAATGCTTTATGCTGAAAAGCTGACGCTGAACTGCTATGCTGAAATGTAATGTGTAAGAAGAAAGTGAAGAATTTAGATTGAAATGATACATGAACACTGGGGGCTTGAATGTGTGATGAGTGAAGAAAATAAAGTAAAAAGGCTTGGAAAAGCAGCAGAATATTTGAACTGCAAACTTTTGAACTAACTTGATGGTGAATGATCTGTCGCCATGGCAACGGCATTTGATGACACCCCATAATACGCTTAGATGCGTTGATGGCTGCATCGTTACCAAACCTGTGAAGTTTTGGGCCGTTTGGAGTATTTTCACTGAAGTTATGATAAAACCATGTTTCAAGGCGAGCATTGTGTTGCCATGGCAACGGTATTTGAAGAAATCTCAAAACTGTCCTGTAGATGTCTTCACGGCTGGACTGTTAGCACACATGTGAAGTTTGAGCACTTTTTGAACATTTTCATAGGAGTTATAGCGACATCGTCTTTTATGGCGAGGGATGCGTTTCCATGGAAACGGCATATGGTGAGATCTCAGATTTGGCGTAGAGCTGTTGAGGCATGGACCGGTGATATACAAGTGAAGATTGGGGGACGATTGGACCGTGTCGATTGGACTTGCAGCGATATTGTGTTTCATGGCGAGTTGTCTGTCGCCATGGCAACAGCATTTGATGACACCCCATAATACGCTTAGATGCGTTGATGGCCGCATCATTACCAAACCTGTGAAGTTTTGGGCTGTTTGGAGTATTTTCACTGAAGTTATGATAAAACCGTGTTTCAAGGCGAGCATTGTGTTGCCATGGCAACGGCATTTCAAGAAATCTCAAAACTGTCCCGTAGATGTCTTCACGGCTGGACTGTTAGCACACATGTGAAGTTTGAGCACTTTTTGAACATCTTCATAGGAGTTATACATTACATTAGGAGGTTACATTACTCTCTCTCTTCTCTTGATCGCCCTCTCTCTTCTCTTGATCGCCCTCTTGATCTTCGGCATATGATGATGACACCCCATAATTGACGTAGAGCTGTTGAGGGCAGGACCATTAACCTTTATCTGAAGTCTGCTGCTCTGAGCATGTCAGTTGGAGTTATGACATCATCGTGTTCCATTACACAGGTGTTTATAGTTGAGCTAACGAGCTCTGTAGAGATCAATGGTTTCCATTGTTCTGAATGAGAGATAAACCTCTTACATGTGAACGTTTTCTGGAAGAACCGTAACAGATATCTGTGAAATTTCAAAAAGTGAAGCATATCAAGGAAGTTGAGTATCTGAAGTGTAATTTTTGTGTACTTTCGGGTCAATAATGTGGCCTTTTTGGCAGTTTAACTAAAGGTGTGCGGCTGCTGCTGCGAGGAAATATCAGCCTGAAATTACAATGGGTTTTAATGGAGACATGTTGAACGTTTTTGTCACTTCATGCCCTCAAGAGGCATTTTGTTTAATTATTTTGCTTAATTATTTGTAATTTTTCAAGCTACGAGATGTTTTCCTACGTTTGTCATGAAAAATTATGTCTCAAGAATGTAGGGTTTGGGAATCATGGCAGGTTTAAAAAAAAATATGAAGGCAAATTTCAAGATTTCCTACACTCAAGCTGTGACATCACGCACTCTGCCTTAACGAGCTGCGCAATTTTAAAGTTAAAATGTTAAAAATGTGATGTATTATGGGATGTATCTCTGGAATTATGAAAGTTATGAATGATAAAAGTAATAGCCTGCGATTCCCGACCGAGCTGAACGTTTGATGTTTGAACGGAGTTTCTGCGATGTTGAATGTGGGAGGAGAAGACGGACAAAATAAGTTGGTGGAATAATAAACTTTTTGTCCGTAGCATAACATATAGTTGGAATGCTGTATCAGCATTCCAACTATATGCATTACAGCGACATCGTGTTTTATGGCGAGGGATGCGTTGCCATGGTAACGCCCCATTATATAATATCATGTCAGTTGGAGTTATGACATCATCGTGTTCCATGGCGAGGGATCGCCTAGCATCGAGCGAACGTGAAAAGCGGCACCACATCACGGCTACGCCGTGCGGTGAAAAGTTGCGATTTTGATGACTTTTCATCCCCCATGTCTCGAGACGCTACCCGCCGAATTTGGAGTCGACCGGATAAAATCCATAGGAGGAGTTCGTTAAAGTACGGAGGCCGAAAAACTCCATCAATCGCGTTTTCCAATGCGAAATTCAAAATGGCCGACTTCCTGTACGTTTTTCTATACACCTTCTAGAGGCTTTTTTGTTCGTCTCCGCACCCTAGATATACATAGCGATTTTCGTTCGTTTACGTGAAAGTGGGGGAGTTTATGTTAAAAACGGAAGTGGGCGTGGCCTGCGCATTTTTTTACGCAAAGTTCCGGAACCATATATACATCGCAATTTTCACCAGTCCTAACGCGCGTGCCAGAGTTCCCGCTAGAATATTTTGTTGGCGGTCAACATGTCCGTTAAAGTTGAAATCTTCCGGACAAAATGAGAAAAGTGCCGGTCAGAGGTCTTCTTTGTTATTTATTGAGCTTTAAAACAAATTGATATGATTCGATATTAAACAAACTAATTATAGTAGATTAACTGCATTATTCAAACGTGTACAGTAACTTACAATAACACGGGAATAATAAACGGAGCGCTCTCTCTCCCTCTCCTGACAACACGCCAGTATCATGCAGCTCGCGGATCCAGTAATGAGTGACCCGACAGTAAAACTAAACATATCTATAACTAGTTTAGGTAGTTTCAGAGGTCATTAAAATAACTACGTGATGTTCTAACCTGAAGTGTGTGTTGCTCTGCTCACCGCTGCAGGGGATCATGCAGAGCTGCGTGTCGACTCGTCAGCAGCAGCTGATCTCTCTCTCCCGTCAGATTAGACTTCACTCGCGTTTATGTCCATATCGATCAGATCTAACTAGTTCTAGCTAATGATATGACTACCTGCTTATCAAAAGACACCTAAACAATAAGCGTCGCTATGCAACCGGGTGAGGCCGCAAAGTATAGCGCAGCATTATGCATTTGTTTACATGCACACCGGAACCCCGAGGCATTACCAACAGATCAACGCACAATCAACCCATACAGGACATCTCTTTATGTCTCTTTACATTAAGTGTTAGACATTAGACTTGTCACAGACTCTTCTTGTCTGTCACAGACTCTTCTTGTCTGTCACAGACTCTTCTTGTCTGTCACAGACTCTTCTTGTCTGTCACAGACTCTTCTTGTCTGTCACATACTCTTCTTGTCTGTCACATACTCTTCTTGTAATTGCGCTAAGGGAAAATGATTTTGACCGGACATTTTGACCGGAGAGATTTAGATTTGCCGGTCTTCAGCATATTTTACCGATCATAGTCCGGTAATTACCGGCTAACGGGAACTCTGGCGCGTGCACAATTTGGTGAGTTTTCATATATGTTGAGGGGGTCAAAAGTGCGATCAAAGAGGGCACACACGTCACACAATTCACGCGTGTGTGCCCTCCATGTTGTGATGTGTGTTTCACCATACATCATGTTCGCTTTGCGAGCAATTACATTAGGGTTTTAGCCTCTGGTCTCAGACCCTAATGATAATCCTATCGATATCAATAATGTAGCGGGCTACCTACTGTTATGATTTCGGACCTTTTTTCTGGGCTTTTGCCCGTCGTTTTCCCTGTTTTGTGTGTTTTGCAGGGAATATCGCGAGCGACCTCTGGTCTCAGACCCTAAAAAGCAAAAACTGTCCAATAAATAAACTCTCCTCTCCCCCCCCCCCCTCTCTCTCCCCTCAGAAAACGCGGTACGGGACGTACTCCTTGCTGCTCCGCGCCCGGCTGGCTCACGGAGACGAGGACCTGTCGGCCTTCGAGGCGCGGCTGCTGGACGATGGCCTGCAGAGGGCGCACTCCAGCCCCACGCTGCCGCAGGAACCACAGAAGAAGAGCCGCGGACACAAGACCTCCCGCAGCCTAAAGGGCACTTCCTCTTCTTCGTCCTCCTCCACTGACAGGAAGAAGAACGGAGGAGAGAAACCAGAGGAGGAGGCGGCGTGACGGACAGGATGCATTATGGGTAGCAGACTCCTCCCACGACTTGCTTTGATTGGCTGAGCAGCCGGTGAGGCGTTCGAGGGCCGTGGGAGACCAGGCGCTCGTTAGGAAGGAGGAGGAGCGTTTCATTTCTCCACCAGTGAAACATTCAGGATCAAAATCTGAAGAGACGTTTAATTTCTGATCCGCAGCTAGGGAGAGTTTCAAAATAAAAGCTTTTATTTCCTGTCTGATCATCAGCAGGGGGAGAGTTTCAAAATAAAAGCTTTTATTTCCTGTCTGATCATCAGCAGGGGGAGAGTTTCAAAATAAAAGCTTTTATTTCCTGTCTGATCATCAGCAGGGGGAGAGTTTCAAAATAAAAGCTTTTATTTCCTGTCTGATCATCAGCAGGGGGAGAGTTTCATCGTTTTTTATTTTCCTTAAGTTGACGGAGAAGAGCCTAAATATCGAAACCGACCGTAAACACTTAGTAGGTACGTGTGTGTGTGTGCGTGTGTGTGTGTGCGTGCGTGTGTGTGTGCGTGCGTGTGTGTACGTATGTGCGTGCGTGTGCGTGCGTGTGTAAATACTTTATTTATGTGTTTTCTTCTTGCTGGAACAAACAGGAAGTTCTTTAGTGACTGTAAACTACTGAGCAGAAAATTCATATTTCCAACTTAATTTAAATTATTTTTTGTCGATGGATTCATTTGCAGATTTTTTTCTTGGTGCTTAAATTTAGATATATCATTATTATTTTGTATTATTGTTTAAAACTTTATTTATGGGGTCATTTTCTAAATAAAATAACAAAAAATGCATGAATGGAAAAATAGAAAATAATAAATTACAAACCCATAAAATAAATAAAATCTGGAAATGCTAAACAACAATAATATAGAACTTTTCCATTTCTTAGTGAGACTTAAAGATCTATAGAGACATTTTATTTTGAAGGCAGCAGATTTCCTGAATTTAGATATTTTCTGCTCCGTGGTTTAGTCGCTGCTCTTCCTCTCGTCGCTGGAGTCCGTCCTCTTTCCACATTCCTGTTGTATCCTAAAGTTTATGAATTATTATCTTTCTTTGTTTTTGTTCAGATGTGTTTCATATTTTTGTTAAAGGAAATGAACATTAAATAAGGCTGGGGCTTCTGGGTAATGAAGTTTTCTGTTGCTGCCAATTGGAGACGACTTCAGACACTTAGTTTCAAATAAAAAATAACGTTATAAGTGGGGGGTTGTGCGGATTCAGTGTTTCTGAAAGCCTCACGATTACTGACAGGAAGTGGTCACCAGGTGGCAGCAGAGAGAAAACTGCTCTTCTTCTTCACGGTTTTATACATATTGTGTATAAATGTTTAATAATGCTGACATTATTTTTGAAATGCAACTTTTTTTGAAACCCTGATCAATAATCTGTGTCCCGATCGCACTGAGGGGAAACTTGAAGATTTATCTTTTTGAGTTTGTTTTTTGAGTTTTTATTGCAGGCCATTTTGTTTTGTAAAGTTTTCCAGCTGTTTGTGAAACGCTGGAACCTGATGCTGGATCGACGTGTGGGTCATCGGACTCAAAACTCTTTAAAAACTCTTTAAAACGATGTAGAAACCAAGGTTTCAAAGGTACTGAGAGAACGGAAACTACGGAGGCTTTCGAACCATATTTAACGTGTTTGTTTACGCCATGGTCCGAAGAACGTTGTCATGTGATCTCGCCGTGAGAGTTTCTCAACACTCCATTTGATAAACACTAACTTTGTTGTTCGACTTCAAGGACTTCTCCAATAAGACCATCTTAAATCAGTTTTCCACGTTTGATGTCCGACATAAACCACATCGGAGCTTCTTGTTTAAACTCCCGGTCGCAGACAGGAGTCAGTTCATGGACTACATTTCCCATCAGGCCTTGCAACGCCTCAAGCTGAGTCCTAACGCTCCACTCACAAACACTTTACACCTTTAGCAGCAACGTTTAACTACGTGGTTAAGTTTAGAGGAACATCATGGTTTGGGTTAAAATAAGTGAGTTTGTCTCGAGAACTAAGTTACGTTAGTAACCTAAGCTTTAATCATTAAAAGTTTGTTTCACGCGGGACATCAGCGCTTCTCCCTATGCAGACTTTATAACTCTTTAATATCTATGGATGCATTACGTGGTTAACAAACACGTAACTAGCTATTCGTCTTGTGATCATGCAAGAATTCAAATTGTCAAATCTGAAACTCGTCCACATGGAAACACGATTTTATGGAGTTTTGGAAAATGTACGTTTTGCTGAAACAGGAAAATATCCTTCTTTGTTAGAGCTTAGCAGACAGCAGGTGTTTAGATAAGGAAAACATCACGGTTTGGGTTCAAATCAGTGAGCTTGTTACGAGAACTAAGTTACGTTAGTAATCTAAATTGGTTTGACGCGGGACGTTCACATTTGATCTGTTTGTGAACGCAGCAAAAACAAACGTAGTCCACCGCAGAAGAAGGGTCTGACCCGAAAGCTTTACGTGTTTAGGTTCACAAAACATCGGTTTGGGGTTAAAAAGTGTTCGTGACGTTCAAACCGAAGTCTTAAACGAGGCGCTTGTTTTCCCGCCCGTGTGTAGGAAGATTCAGGAAACTTAATACCTCCAAAATCCAACTTTCATAGGAAGTTATTTCCGTGTTACACATCGATGATCCACTCCTTTTACTTTGGAAAACCCGCACATTTCCCGAACACTCCTCGACTCTGAGAGAACGTTGGAGACGAGAACGGGACGTAGAGACGCTCCTCTCCGTCTCCAATAACCTCGGGTCGTATTTACTCCTCTAATATCCAGTTGTGTATTCGGGTGTATTGTCGCTCTGTGCAATGTAAGCAGCATAGGATGAACCGTCTAAGAGTCATGGCCGCTTCCAGCTGTGTCCGTGTTTGTAAATAAAGTTGAAGCCATCCTGAAGTCGGCCGGACGTTTAGCTGCTGGTTAGATTTAAAGCAGACGTTATTTATTCTTTAGTTTCTGTGAATGTTTTTTTTGTTGATAGCTGTACATACCGTCCACTTCCTGTGAGGCTCGTAGTGAAACACAGACTTCCTGTTTGTACCTTGTTGAAGGCTTAGAGGCAAAAATAAAAACATTTCAAAAACAAGAGTCCGTTTTTATTCAAAGTCTCAGAAACAGTCGCAGCGCTTGTCTCGTTAAATACAGAATATATTCCATCACCAAACAGAGAATACACAGTATTAGTAAAAACATGTTATCTGAAAGTAACGGAGAAGTCCTCATTAATTAAACAATTCAGTCTTATTAATGTTTTGAATCAAAGCTCAAATAAAAAACACTCAAAATGACTCGAAGTTATATATATTTTATCTTTCAACTTCATTTAACGTTTGGATTTAATATCATCTTTTTAACTTGTTTTATTGAATTGACTTTTAGCTTTTAACTAACTCTTAAACAAAGTCAATATTTGTATTAAACGTATTCATTGTAATTTTTAGGGCTGTCCCGAATACCATTTTTCGGGCTCCGGATCTTCGGTAGTAAGCAGCAGCGAATATTCGAATATTCGGCCCGCACGGGGCGGCGTAGTAATCAGCAGCGAACCGCTTCAACACGTGTATTTCAGTGTATTCACGACATTCATTTAGTTATTCTACAGTATTGTTGTTTTATAGTTGTTTGTTAATGTAACCCAATTTGTGTTTTTTGAAATTGAAAAGGATATCGCATTGTGTTTGTCGTTGCAGTTGTATATGTCCAAAGTGTAATTTGGCTTGGCTTCCTATTTACTGACATGCTTTTATTTTGAAGGAGAGTTAGCGCAGTTGACAGGAAGTTGTTGTTGCTATGGAAACAACGTGACGGAGATTAACGGAGAAAAGTAATATCTACATATAAAGACGGAGAAAGTAAACGATAACGTTTATGGTTAAGTGTTAGCACCCCCCGAAGAGGCACAAGCTCTTACGTTGATATTGGAGATTTCAATAAATTCAATTTGAAGAAAAAACAAACAAAACGAATATCCGAATAACGAAATTGAAACCCGAATAGTACTCCAACGAATGATTATTCGGATATTCGGGTACAGCCCTAGTCATTTTCACAATAAAAGCCCAAAATGTTGACTTTTTAATTACAATTTTACTTTTATAATATTTTCACACTTTTAGAGACTTTCTAACGAACCGTGTTCCGCACCAATGAAGACCGTGCTGCATTCATGAACCAACACAAAAACTGGAAATCTCACTACTTTCCTAGGAACTGAAGATGCAAGCTTTGTAAACACTGAGTTATAGTTCATGTGTGTTCATGTTCAAATGTGTTCTGTATCTTTAAAAACTCAAACTGAAACTCCTTTTTTAAATGTTAAAAAGGTGGGTTTTTTGGGGTAAAACGCTAAAACTTCTGACGTCACAGGAGTTACAATCTTTGGGTCCGAGTCCAGGTCCTGGAGAGGACAGAAACCACGTCTTCAAATCTGAAAGACCTGAAGAGTCCTGGTTCTTGAAGAGTTCTGGTTCCAAAGAGTCCTGGTTCCTAAAGAGTTCTGGTTCCGAAAGAGTCCTGGTTCTTGAAGAGTCCAGTTCTTGAAGAGTCCTGGTTCCTAAAGAGTTCAGTTCTTGAAGAGTCCTGGTTCCTAAAGACACCTGGTTCCTAAAGAGTTCTGGTTCCTAAAGAGTCCTGGTTCTTGAAGAGTCCAGTTCTTGAAGAGTCCTGGTTCCTAAAGAGTTCTGGTTCCTAAAGAGTTCAGTTCTTGAAGAGTCATGGTTCCTAAAGAGTCCTGGTTCCTAAAGAGTCCAGTTCTTGAAGAGTTCTGGTTCGTAAAGAGTTCTGGTTCTTGAAGAGTCCAGTTCTTGAAGAGTTCTGGTTCCTGAAGAGTCCTGGTACCGAAACTGCTTGAAACAGGATTTTACCTCCTGCTCGTCACTGATTGGCCACAGGCGGCTCCTCCTCTTCATCCATTGGCTGGCTGCCGAAGCCGCTGTCAACTGTGGCGTCTGATTGGACGGAAAAAAAAACAGGTGAGGTGTGTGTGTGTGTGTGTGTGTGTGTGTGTGTGTGTGTGTGTGTGTGTGTGTGTGTGTGTGTGTGTGTGTGTGTGTGTGTGTGTGTGTGTGTGTGTGCGCCTGTGTGTGTGTGTACCTGTGTTGTGTTTGTCCTCCTGCAGCTGCTTGTCTCTCAGCAGTCGAACTCCTTCTGTCAGACCGAGAGACTGAAGAGCTTCAACCAGAGCAGAGAGCGCACCTCCCCCCAGCTACACACACACACACACACACACACACACACACACACACACACACACACACACACACACACACACACACACACACACACACACACACAGGTTAGAACATATGCAGGTTACATTTTTTCAACAAAAGCTCTTATTTCCTTTCTGAAAATCAGCAGGGGTAGATTTCACAATAAAAGCTTGTACTTCCTGTGTTACGTGTGTGTGTGTTACCTGGTAGTGCCTCAGCAGCTGTTGGCAGGGGGAGGAGCTCTCCAGGTAAAGGGGGGTCAGCGTCATCATCCCCAGTCTTTCTGCCAGTTTCCTCCAGGGGGCGTCACCTCCACCTGTCTCACCTGTCCCCCCCCCCCACACTCAGCAGCTCCACCAGGTGGGACAGTGTCTCCTCGTCCAGACCCCCCGCTGGGACCCCCGCATCAGAGACGCTGCTCGACTTCATCTTCTTACTGGACTTACTGGACCTCTGATCTGAGACCAGCAGACTCCTCACCTGGGGGAGAGGGGGGGGGGGAGACAGGTGAGGAGGGACAAGGTGAGTTTTATGTTCTTTGTCCACTGTGTAATTCCAGCCTGTGCTTTTATTTTGAAAAGGTAATAACTACCTTCTGGCAGCGGGCCAGGTCCAGAGGGGTGTGTCCCGGCGCAGGCCTCTTACGGGGGTTGATGATTGGTTGTGAGGCGACCTCCTGCTCTCTGATTGGCTGTGAGGCAGCCTCCCGCTCTCTGATTGGTTCCTCGTCTTCCTCGTCTGAAGAGGAGCTGAAGAAGAGCGGCTCGTCGTTCTCTATGTTTTTATCAGCGCCTGAAAAACAGCCTCATTTACTATATTATATAAATGTTTACTAAATAATAATGTACCTGAATGGTACATTATTACAGGTAGCTAACCTAAGCTAACACTTAGCTAACGTATCTTAACACCGCTAACCAACTCCAACAGATGGCTAACACTTAGCTAACGTATCTTAACACCGCTAACCAACTCCAACAGATGGCTAACACTTAGCTAACGTATCTTAACACCGCTAACCAACTCCAACAGATGGCTAACACTTAGCTAACGTATCTTAACACCACTAACCACCTCCAACAGATGGCTAACACTTACCTAACACTTAGCTAACGTATCTTAACACCACCAACCACCTCTAACAGGTAGCTAACACTTAGCTAACATATCTCAACACCGCCAACCATCTCTAACAGGTAGATAACACTTAGCTAACATATCTCAACACCGCCAACCACCTCTAACAGGTAGCTAACACGTATCTCAACACCGCCAACCACCTCCAACAGGTAGCTAACACTTAGCTTACGTATCTCAACACCGCCAACCACCTCCAACAGGTAGCTAACCTAAGCTAACACTTAGCTTACGTATCTCAACACCGCCAACCACCTCCAACAGGTAGCTAACACTTAGCTAAAGTATCTTAACACCGCTTACCAGAGGTGGGACAAAGTCATTGTTTTGCAAGTCCGAGTCAAGTCTCAAGTCTTTGCGCTCAAGTCCATGTCAAGTCTCAAGTCAGGATGGGAAAGTTCAAGTCAAGTCCAAGTCCTAAACTTTGACAAAACGAGTCTTAAACAAGTCATTATGTGCTTTTCACCAAATGTAATGACATTGATCAACAGAATCATACTTAATAATCAAACTGCTCTTTATTAGTCACATTAATCATTTAATAATCCATTTTCTCTCTGCTGGTAAAGTAACGTGTTTTTTTCTATTGTAAGAAGGATCAGTAAGGTAAGGCTATCGTGACGGTTTGATTCAGAAGGAGTTTAATGTATAAGATCCCTGATGTTGAGGTGACCAGAATGTTTATTTCCACTGTACAGCATGTTATAAGGGACCCACAACCTATCTTTATGCAAGGGATAATGTGCAGCGAGGCGTCTCTATGGGGGAAAGAACACCTGAATCTAGATCCCTCTGCAGGTGGTACTTTAACTATATTTTGATGATAATACTTTTCTACTTTTACTTGAGTAACATTTTGAATGCAGGACTTTTTATTGTAACCGAGTATTCCTACACTCTGGTACTGTTATTCAAGTACAAGATCTGAACTTCTCCCACCTCTGGCAATAAATCCTGAGTGGTTACCAAAACAAAAACCCTGCTCTGAAGGTTATTTTCATTTTACAAATCCTGCACTCAGCTTTGCTTTCTCCAATATCATTGAAATGCAGCCAGAAGCTGCTTCTTTTTTCGGTTTTCGCAAATTTCTTGACTTTTTCCGACGCGCTTGCATTTAAATCCGTCTCCCAGTCGCTCTGTGTAGCTGGCCTGTACCACTACACCTGCTGTCTTTGGGAGCGTCTGCCCCCCACCCTTCTTTCACATAATGGTATGATCCTAGTGTGTCCTCGCATATGATTGGCCGCATGGTGGCTCAGCAAAATAAAGTCCCGCCCCTGCCTGCAAGGATTCACAGCAAGAGTTGCAGCGGCTGAAGATTCTGCTTTCCCCGACGGGAGTCTGCTCTTCTAACGGCATCTCGCGATCGGCGTGTTGGAGACCCCTGAATTAAATGATCAAGTCACCTCAAGTCAGAAGGCTCAAGTCCAAGTCAAGTCCCGAGTCATTAGTGTTCAAGTCCAAGTCGAGTCGCAAGTGTTTTGTGATTTTGTCAAGTCGAGTCCAAAGTCATCAAATTGGTGACTCGAGTCGGACTCGAGTCCAAGTCATGTGACTCGAGTCCTAGTCATGTGACTCGAGTCCACACCTCTGCCGCTTATTACCTCCAACAGGTAGCTAACCTCCACTATGATCTGCTTTATTATCATTGATGCAGGTGTGTGTTACCTGCAGCGATGAGCATGGAGACGAGCGTCGGGGAGCCCAGACTCGCTGCCAGGTGCAGAGCAGAGTTCCCTCCAAACGTCACAGCGTTCACATCCGCCTTCAGCTGCACACATGCGCACACACACACACACACAACACACACACACACACACACACACACACACACACACACACACACACACACACACACACACACACACACACACACACACACACACACACACACACACGCACACACACACACGCACACACACAGGTTAGAACATATGCAGGTTACATTTTTTCAACAAAAGCTCTTATTTCCTTTCTGAAAATCAGCAGGGGTAGATTTCACAATAAAAGCTTGTGTGTGTGTGTGTGTGTGTGTGTGTGTGTGTGTGTGTGTGTGTGTGTGTGTGTGTGTGTGTGTGTGTGTGTGTGTGTGTGTGTGTGTGTGTGTGTGTGTGTGTGTGTGTGTGTGTGTGTGTGTGTGTGTGTGTGTGTGTGTGTGTGTGTGTGTGTGTGTGTGTGTGTGTGTGTGTGTGTGTGTGTGTGTGTGTGTACCTCAGTGATGAGGGTGCAGGCTCCTCTGAACAGGTTCCTCTTCACTGATAGGTGCAGAGCTGTGTGCCCGCTCTTCAGCTCCGGAGCGTTGATCTTGGCTCCGCCCCCAACGAGGAGGCGCAGACATCGCTCCCCGTCCCTCCTGACGGCCAGGTGCAGCGGCTGCATACCTGAGGAGCAGATATAACAGATTCAAGATTCAATGGTTTTATCATCAGATGCTCAGCAGCTACAGTGTAGAAATGGAAATGAAATTCTTCTGACCTGAGCTCCTCCAACAATGCAACATATCATAAAATACAAAATAATGCAAGAAGTCTATATACATGTAAATAGAATATGATATGTACAAGAACAGAATATGAAATTAAATAATGTACATTAAGACAAATATATGTCCTGTACAGGTGGGGTTCTCCTGTGCAATACTATTATTATTAATAATGTTCGATAATAACGTGCAGTTACGTATCTGCCACTACGTTTTGTTGCACTACTAAACACTGCTCGTCTGTGTTTCCTGTAGATATTTAATTGCTCTTTTTATGACTGTTAGTGTACAGTTTATTATCATGCTGCTGTGTTTATTGTATTTTTGTAACTCTGGCACAACAATTTCCTTTGGGATAAATAAAGTCTTATCTTAACTTTTCTTATCTTAGGTGGTGTTTCCCATTACAGGTAATTTATCATATATAATATATTTCCTGTCCAGGTGGTGTTTATCTCACCGTGGTAGTCATGTGCGTTGACCAGGTGAGCGTTGTGTTCCCCAAGGTGAGCCAGCAGGGGGCGCAGCGAGGCAGAGTCTCCGTTCAGCGCCGCCAGGTGGAGCGGGCTGCGACCCTCTCCGTCCAATCGGGAGGGGGTCAGCCCCCGCCCCGCAGGAGAGCCTCCAACACCTTCACCTGCCGCGTGAATCACCGCCAGGTGCAGCGGAGTCTGAGGGTAACAGAGGATAAGATACACTTTATTGATCCCAAATTGAAAAATTTAAATTTAAAATGTAGTGTGAAGAAATAGAAACAGGTTTTATAAGCTACCTGATGGAGGTGATTAGCAGTTTTAAGTTACATTAGCTACCTGTTGGAGGTGGTTGGCGGTGTTGAGAAACGTTAGCTAAGTGTTAGCTTAGGTTAGCTACCTGTTGGAGGTGGTTGGCGGTGTTGAGAAACGTTAGCTAAGTGTTAGCTTAGGTTAGCTACCTGTTAGAGGTGGTTAGCGGAGTTGAGATACTTAAGCTAAGCGTTAGCTACCTGTTGGAGGTGGTAGCGGTGTTGAGATACGTTAGCTAAGTGTTAGCTACCTGTTGGAGGTGGTTAGCGGTGTTAGCTAAGTGTTAGCTACCTGTTGGAGGTGGTTAGCGGTGTTAGCTAAGGGTTAGCTACCTGTTGGAGGTGGTTAGCGGTGTTAGCTAAGTGTTAGCTACCTGTTGGAGGTGGTTGGCGGTGTTAGCTAAGTGTTAGCTACCTGTTGGAGGTGGTTGGCGGTGTTAGCTAAGGGTGAGCTACCTGTTGGAGGTGGTTGGCGGTGTTAGCTAAGGGTTAGCTACCTGTTGGAGGTGGTTGGCGGTGTTAGCTACCTGTTGAAGGTGGTTAGCGGTGTTAGCTAAGGGTTAGCTACCTGTTGGAGGTGGTTAGCGGTGTTAGCTAAGTGTTAGCTACCTGTTGGAGGTGGTTCGCGGTGTTAGCTAAGTGTTAGCTACCTGTTGGAGGTGGTTAGCGGTGTTAGCTAAGTGTTAGCTACCTGTTGGAGGTGGTTAGCGGTGTTAGCTAAGTGTTAGCTACCTGTTGGAGGTGGTTAGCGGTGTTAGCTAAGTGTTAGCTACCTGTTGGAGGTGGTGTAGCGGTGTTAGCTAAGTGTTAGCTACCTGTTGGAGGTGGTTAGCGGTGTTAGCTACGTGTTAGCTACCTGTTGGAGGTGGTTCGCGGTGTTAGCTAAGTGTTAGCTACCTGTTGGAGGTGGTTTAGCGGTGTTAGCTAAGTGTTAGCTACCTGTTGGAGGTGGTTAGCGGTGTTAGCTAAGTGTTAGCTACCTGTTGAAGGTGGTTAGCGGTGTTAGCTAAGTGTTAGCTACCTGTTGGAGGTGGTTAGCGGTGTTAGCTAAGTGTTAGCTACCTGTTGGAGGTGGTTAGCGGTGTTAGCTAAGGGTTAGCTACCTGTTGGAGGTGGTTAGCGGTGTTCAGGACGTTTTGCTGCTGGCTGCTCAGCAGGGTGTGGATCAGCTGCTGGATCACACTGGTCTGCTGATGGATGATGGCCAGGTGCAAAGGACTGTGGGAAAAGTCAAATCCAGTTTAAAAACAGAAAACTAACAATATTTACGGTCAAAGATGCAATGACATATAAAGATTTGACAAATTGGTCATGGCCCTAAAATAAAGATCATGTGGCACGACTTTGTTTATTGTTTATCCTAAACATAATTCATTTTCAAGTTATTAGAAACTAAACATAAGCATTAGGAAAGTTGATCCTTGTGGTTGTCATCTCCTGTTTCTTAGACGAATTAACCAAATAAACCAAATGAGCTCACGTGTCTCCGTTGCCGTCCTGGACCCCACAGAGGTGTCTCTGGATGGCCAGAAGGACCCGGGCGTCCCCAGAGCTGCAGTACTGAAGCAGGGCGGCCGCCGTCTGCCGGGCGCTGAGAGACGCTCGGGAGCGGAGTGCGGCGGCTGGAGACAAAACACAACCAGCTCGTTAAGTACAGTTAGAAAACTCTCCCTGGTCCCCGGCTTGAGCTTCAATCTCAGGATCCATGTATCTGTGATCCTCTCCAGAATGGAAGTAGTCATCACATACAGAGCATCAACTAGTTCCTGAACAGTGTCCTTCACATGCTGATATCCAAGAGAGGGAGTTACACAGTCACAAGATGGAGGAATAGAAAGCAGTATTCAATGTTTACTTCAGATTAGCTCCACGTCAGAAATGAGCATGCTTGGCAGTGTTTCCCCTAGGTTTACTGCTTTGGGGGGGTGCTGCCTGAGCGAGGGGGGGGTATTGGGATATATTTAAAAAAGATCCTCTGGAGCAGAGAGAGGAGCTGTGGATTATTGTTATTGATTAATGCTTCAGTGTTTCTTTGGGTCAAAAACACTAAACTCACAATTTAAAATGAAAGCGTTTAGTTTATTTAATAAAAGAGCACATGTTCAATGTGAAAAGTGACAGTAGATATAGTTTAGTTGAAATTTGGTAAAAAATTAAAAAAAAGATTATATATATATATTTTTTTAAACACCTTCAATTTTAGCGCGCAACATAAGTGCGCGGGGCTCCGTTGGCGGGGCGCAGCGCCCCTCCAAGACAATGGTAGGGGAAACACTATCTCCATAGAGGCTGAATCATCATGTTAATCACATAGCTATTATATGCCTGAAACAGTCCTGATGCTCTTCTAGGTAATCACACATCCTGTCATGTTCACAGCTACAGTTGGGATACCTTTGTTATCATGTTACTCTCATGTTGGAAGAGGACGTTCAGTATCGTCCCAACAAATATATATATATTTGCAAGGAATCAGATCAAGTTTTGTTTCTTACTGAGCTGAAACAGCTGCTGCTGCAGAGGGGAGCCTGTCTGTCCTCCTGTCTGTCCTCCTGTCTGTCCTCCTGTCTGTCCTCCTGTCTGTCCTCCTGTCTGTCCCTCGGTCTGAGGGGCGGAGCTTGACATCTGAGCCCCTCCCCCTCCGCTGAAGCCAGAGAATCCTCCGGTGAAGAAGACTCCTCCTCCTCCTCCTCCGTTCATCTGCTGGTTGAACTGAAATCCTGCAGAAAGAATCAAATTCCACGTTAGCCAGTTAGCCATAGTTAGCTGGACGAAGGAAATGCAGGAGGAACGTTCCAGAACATCTGAAAGTACGATGCTAAGCAGTTAAGTGCTAAGAAGCTAAAGTACAATGCTAAGAAGCTAAAGTGTAATGCTAAGAAGCTAAAGTACAATGCTAAGAAGCTAAAGTGGAATGCTAAAAAGCTAAAGTACAATGCTAAGAAGCTAAAGTACAATGCTAAGAAGCTAAAGTGGAATGCTAAGAAGCTAAAGTACAATGCTAAGAAGCTAAAGTACAATGCTAAGAAGCTAAAGTACAATGCTAAGAAGCTAAAGTACAATGCTAAGAAGCTAAAGTACAATGCTAAGAAGCTAAAGTACAATGCTAAGAAGCTAAAGTGGAATGCTAAGAAGCTAAAGTGGAATGCTAAGAAGCTAAAGTACAATGCTAAGAAGCTAAAGTGGAATGCTAAGAAGCTAAAGTACAATGCTAAGAAGCTAAAGTACAATGCTAAGAAGCTAAAGTACAATGCTAAGAAGCTAAAGTGGAATGCTAAGAAGCTAAAGTACAATGCTAAGAAGCTAAAGTGCAATGCTAAGAAGCTAAAGTGCTACGAAGCTAAAGTGCTAAGAAGCTAAAGTGCTAAGAAGCTAAAGTGCAATGCTTAAAAGTTCAAGTCTGATGCTAAAGCTAAAATAAGATGCTAAGAAGCTAAAGCACGATCCCAATATGTCAAAACGATACGAGACCAAATATTGTGTAATACATTTCCGATATGGTTTGAGTGTGTGATGTGAAGAGTGTTTATTATTAGTTGTATAGATACGTGGGCGCTGATACTCGGCCTTCCCTGCAATGCCACTATTCAGGGGTCAAACATATTGGGACATTTGATATGCTCCATTTCCAAATGGTGTCACTGGAGTTATTCCTCCTCCTCCGAACCCACCTCCTGCTCCTCCTCCTCCTGCAGCTCCTCCTCCGAACCCCCCTCCTGCTCCTCCTCTCCAGGGCTCGTAGTGAGGCAGCGGCTTCTGCTTCTTCCTCAGCACCTCCTCTTTGTCTGAAAGAGTTGACATTTCAAAAGTGAATTGAAGTAAAAGCGGGAAGACATGAAAAGAGTTTTCAAAGAAAACGTCCTCTTTGTGGTTTTTGAGTCTGTGCCTGATGAGTGAGAGGGTGATGAGTCTGTGCCTGATGAGTGAGAGGGTGATGAGTGAGAGGGATACTGAAACTGCTCTGAGGGAAACCCCGACAACATGTTGCTGTGCTTCTGTACGGGGATTCACCGGCCCTCCATGTTCACCTCCATGTTCACCTCCATGTTCACCTCCATGTTCACATCCTGCTTCTCTACGGCGCTTCACATTGTTGGTGCTTCTGGTTAGAGCGTAGTTGCTGTGCTCCAGCTTTATCAGCCTTTCTTACCAGATAAACCGTTTTTAAGGAACTGTTATTGAGTAAAAACACTAATTCAAGTGAGAAACCAACATTGAAAATACGTGCTGGTTCTTCTCGTAGCTCCTCATAGCAGAGCATCTTCATCACAAGACTCTACAGAGTTATACAACATGTCCTCATCAGATTTTATTGTCATCCTGCATTTATTTAGAAAAACTCAAAATTCTGACCTTTTCTGAAAATCAAAAAACTGACTTTTTTTCAAAATCTCCAATTTCTCAGCATTCTGACTTTTTTCTTAAAATTCTTACTTTTTCCTGAAATCTCATAATTCTGACTCTTTTCCAAAAATCAAAACATTTCGACTTTTTTCCAAAATAAACATACGGTGTGTTTCTCACCTTGGACCTGGGGGATGTAGGTGAACTGTTTGGGGGCGGGGCTTCATAAGGTGGTTAAACATAAGGTCTCTCACCTTGGACCTGGGGGATGTAGGTGAACTGTTTGGGGGTGGGGCTTCATAAGGTGGTTAAACATAAGGTCTCTCACCTTGGACCTGGGGGATGTAGGTGAACTGTTTGGGGGCGGGGCTTCATAAGGTGGTTAAACATAAGGTCTCTCACCTTGGACCTGGGGGATGTAGGTGAACTGTTTGGGGGCGGGGCTTCATAAGGTGGTTAAACATAAGGTCTCACCTTGGATCTGGGGGATGTAGGTGAACTGTTTGGGGGCGGGGCTTCATATGGTGGTTAAACATAAGGTCTCTCACCTTGGACCTGGGGGATGTAGGTGAACTGTTTGGGGGCGGGGCTTCATAAGGTGGTTAAACATAAGGTCTCTCACCTTGGACCTGGGGGATGTAGGTGAACTGTTTGGGGGCGGGGCTTCATAAGGTGGTTAAACATAAGGTCTCTCACCTTGGACCTGGGGGATGTAGGTGAACTGTTTGGGGGCGGGGCTTCATAAGGTGGTTAAACATAAGGTCTCTCACCTTGGACCTGGGGGATGTAGGTGAACTGTTTGGGGGCGGGGCTTCATAAGGTGGTTAAACATAAGGTCTCACCTTGGATCTGGGGGATGTAGGTGAACTGTTTGGGGGCGGGGCTTCATAAGGTGGTTAAACATAAGGTCTCTCACCTTGGACCTGGGGGATGTAGGTGAACTGTTTGGGGGCGGGGCTTCATAAGGTGGTTAAACATAAGGTCTCTCACCTTGGACCTGGGGGATGTAGGTGAACTGTTTGGGGGCGGGGCTTCATAAGGTGGTTAAACATAAGGTCTCTCACCTTGGACCTGGGGGATGTAGGTGAACTGTTTGGGGGCGGGGCTTCATAAGGTGGTTAAACATAAGGTCTCACCTTGGATCTGGGGGATGTAGGTGAACTGTTTGGGGGCGGGGCTTCATAAGGTGGTTAAACATAAGGTCTCTCACCTTGGACCTGGGGGATGTAGGTGAACTGTTTGGGGGCGGGGCTTCATAAGGTGGTTAAACATAAGGTCTCTCACCTTGGACCTGGGGGATGTAGGTGAACTGTTTGGGGGCGGGGCTTCATAAGGTGGTTAAACATAAGGTCTCTCACCTTGGACCTGGGGGATGTAGGTGAACTGTTTGGGGGGGGGGGCTTCATAAGGTGGTTAAACATAAGGTCTCTCACCTTGGACCTGGGGGATGTAGGTGAACTGTTTGGGGGCGGGGCTTCATAAGGTGGTTAAACATAAGGTCTCTCACCTTGGACCTGGGGGATGTAGGTGAACTGTTTGGGGTCGCTGCTGTCGCCCGCCTTCTTCCTCTTCAGCTGCAGGAAGACGGTGACGGGACGCTCGATCTCTGCGCTGTGATAGGCCGGCGTCTTGAACACGATGGCGTACTGAGGAGAGGGGAGCGATGCGTTTAGTGGCATCGGGAAAACACAGTGACGTCTGTTCTGGTGTTTTTTACCCATGGTATGTTAATCATGCGGTAACAGTTTGACATTTCACATCATATGGAAAATCACTAGGGCTGTCAAGTTAACGCGTTAATAATGCGTTAACGCAAAACAAAATTAACGCCACTAATTACTTTAACGTGATTAACGCATGTGCATTTTTTGTCCTCGGCCGCCCCGTAGTTTCAGAGCGCATCGAGTTTAAAATACCATCTATACAATCTAAGCACACTGCTGATGCCGACAGCCCCGCTCCTGCCTCCCGCTTGCAGCAGAGCACACTTGAAAGTGTGCGGGGGAGACGCCTGGACACGTCTACGAGCAGCAAGCTTTCAACAAAGATCGCTAAATGGGTGGCTACAGTTTGCGGAGGATTTAAGAAAGACTTCCACAGTTGCGCTCACCGGAGACTATTGGACTTCACTCAGTAATGACAGTCACCTCGGGGTCACACACACACACACACACACACACACACACACACACACACACACACACACACACACACACACACACACACACACCACACACACACACACACACACACACACACACACACACACACACACACACACACACACACACACACACACACACTTTGTATTGTATTATTGTATGAGAGAGGTTCCAGGTTGTTGTGTTTAATATTCATGAGAATATTTGTCATTGTTCAAATGATAATAAACAAACATTTGCATAAAGCATATTTGTCCACTCATATGTTGATAAGAGTATTCAAAACTTGAAAAATATCCCTCCAAGGTACATTTAGAACAGATAGAAAATGTGCAATTAATTTGCGATTAATCGCGATTAACTATTTTAATCGACTGACAGCCCTAAAAATTACACTTTATCAATACGTTGGTTTTAAGTCCACATTCTCAGATTGTGTGTGTGTGTGTGTGTGTGTGTGTGTGTGTGTGTGTGTGTGTGTGTGTGTGTGTGTGTGTGTGTGTGTGTGTGTGTGTGTGTGTGTGTGTGTGTGTGTGTGTGTGTGTGTGTGTGTGTGTGTGTACCTGTTTGTGCACATCAGTAGGTGAGAAGTCCCCGAACGCCTCCCAGCCTCCTTCGTCGTCCTCTTCGTAAAATCGGATCTCGATGTCGTCTGCAGCACAGATGCATGATGGGACATTTCCCCGGTTACACACAGCTATTTATTTGTCTAACTTTATAATTATTAAAACACAAGAAAAACCACAGTCTGGAGAAATGAACTCACACCTGTTGGACCAGGTGAGGTGCTGTGGTACCTGTTTGCTGATCAGCTGTTCTTAAGGTGTTTATATGTGTATTTAGTCTTTGTCACCTTTCTGCACTTTGTCGCAGAGCAGGAAGATCTCGTCTCCTCCGAGCACCGAGCCGCACGTCTTATCCATCCGAGAGATCTTCAGGTTAGAGGCGTTCGGCGACTCTGCAGGGAAAACGACGAGTCATTAGTAAAACTCAATAAACCAAATCTCAAAATTCTGACTTTTTCCTCAAAATTATTACTTTTTTCCACAAAATCTCAAAATTATTACTTTTTCTCTTTATTTAAAAAAAGACGAGTCATTAGTAATACTCGTTAAACAAAGTCCTGCATATGATTGTTAGACGATTGCGTTCAGGGTCTGAATTGTTAGCACGATGCGTTCCGGGTCTGATGTTAGACCGATTGCGTTCAGGGTTCTGATTGTTAGACGAATTTGCGATTCAGGGTCTGAATGTTTTTAGACGATGCGTTCAGGGTCTGATTGTTAGACGGATGCGTTTCAGGGTTCTGATGTTAGCCGATGCGGTTCAGGCGTCTGAATGTTAGACGATGCGTTTCAGGGTCTGAAGTGTTAGACGATGCGTTCAGGGTGTCTGAATGTTAGACGATGCGTTCAGGGGTCCTGATTCGCTTAGACGATGACGTTCAGGGTCTGAATGTTAGACGATGCGTTCAGGTTCTGAATGTTAGACGATGTGCGTCAGGGTCTTGTAATTTGTTAGACGATTGCGTTCCGGGTCTGATGAGTTTGTTAGGACGCTTTGCGTTCAGTGCTACTGTTGAAGGTGCAGGGTCTGAAGTAGCGATGCGTTCAGGGTCTGAATGTTAGACGATGCGTTCAGGGTTGATATGTTAGACGATGCGTTCAGGGTCTGAATTGTTAGACGATGCGTTCAGGGTCTGAATGTTAGACGATGCGTTTCAGGGTTGAATGTTAGACGATGCGTTCAGGGTCTGAATGTTAGACGATGCGTTCAGGGTCTGAATGTTAGACGATGCGTTCAGGGTCTGATTGTTAGATATGCGTTCAGGGTATGATGTTAGACGATGCGTTCAGGGTCTGATGTTAGACGATTGCGTTCAGGGTCTGAATGTTCAGACGATGCGTTCAGGGTCTGAATGTAAGACGATGCGTTCAGGAGTCAGTGAATGTTAGACGATGCCGTTTCAGGGTCTGAATGTCAGACGATACGTTCAGGGTCTGAATGTCAGACGATGCGTTCAGGGTCTGAATGTCAGACGATTGCGTTCAGGGTCGGAATGTTAGACGATGCGTTCAGGGTCGGAATGTTAGACGATGCGTTCAGGGTCGGAATGTTAGACGATGCGTTCAGGGTCTGAATGTAAGACGATGCGTTCACGATGCGTTCAGGGTCGGAATGTTAGACGATGCGTTCAGGGTCGGAATGTTAGACGATACGTTCAGGGTCTGAATGTCAGACGATGCGTTCAGGGTCGGAATGTTAGACGATGCGTTCAGGGTCTGAATGTTAGACGATGCGTTCAGGGTCTGAATGTCAGACGATGCGTTCAGGGTCGGAATGTTAGACGATGCGTTCAGGGTCTGAATGTTAGACGATGCGTTTCAGGGTCTGAATGTTAGACGATGCGTTCAGGGTCTGAATGTTAGACGATGCGTTCAGGGTCGGAATGTTAGACGATGCGTTCAGGGTCTGAATGTAAGACGATGCGTTCAGGGTCGGAATGTTAGACGATGCGTTCAGGGTCACTCACTGCTGTCGTAGATCGGGTTGGAAACCACAGGTTTGAGTCCTCGAGTGAAACCTCCATTACTGTCCTGAAGGAACGCTGTGAACTTTAACCTCACGATGTTCAGATCCATCTTCTTCCCCAAGTCCTTCGCCTCCTTCACCAGGGACACCTCCTCACTCTCTGAGGGAGGAAGAGAAGTTTATCAGTTAAAGGGGACCTATTATGCAAAATCCCCTTCTTCATGTCTCTTCTACATCAACATGTGTCCCCTCTTCTTCATGTCTCTTCTACATCAACATATGTCCCCTCTTCTTCATGTCTCTTCTTCATCAACATGTGTCCCCTCTTCTTCATGTCTCTTCTACATCAACATGTGTCCCCTCTTCTTCATGTCTCTTCTACATCAACATGTATCCCCTCTTCTTCATGTCTCTTCTCATCAACATGTGTCCCCTCTTCTTCATGTCTCTTCTACATCAAACATGTGTCCCCTCTTCTTCATGTCTCTTCTACATCAACATGTGTCCCCTCTTCCTCATGTCTCTTCTACATCAACATGTGTCCCCTCTTCTTCATGTCTCTTCTTCATCAACATGTGTCCCCTCTTCTTCATGTCTCTTCTACATCAACATGTGTCCCCTCTTCTTCATGTCTCTTCTTCATCAACATGTGTCCCCTCTTCTTCATGTCTCTTCTACATCAACATGTGTCCCCTCTTCTTCATGTCTCTTCTACATCAACATGTGTCCCCTCTTCTTCATGTCTCTTCTACATCAACATGTATCCCCTCTTCTTCATGTCTCTTCTTCATCAACATGTGTCCCCTCTTCTTCATGTCTCTTCTTCATCAACATGTGTCCCCTCTTCTTCATGTCTCTTCTTCATCAACATGTGTCCCCTCTTCTTCATGTCTCTTCTACATCAACATGTGTCCCCTCTTCTTCATGTCTCTTCTACATCAACATGTGTCCCCTCTTCTTCATGTCTCTTCTACATCAACATTGTGTCCCCTCTTCTTCATGTCTCTTCTTCATCAACATGTGTCCCCTCTTCTTCATGTCTCTTCTTCATCAACATGTGTCCCCTCTTCTTCATGTCTCTTCTACATCAACATGTGTCCCCTCTTCCTCATGTCTCTTCTACATCAACATGTGTCCCCTCTTCTTCATGTCTCTTCTTCATCAACATGTGTCCCCTCTTCTTCATGTCTCTTCTTCATCAACATGTGTCCCCTCTTCTTCATGTCTCTTCTACATCAACATGTATCCCCTCTTCTTCATGTCTCTTCTTCATCAACATGTGTCCCCTCTTCTTCATGTCTCTTCTTCATCAACATGTGTCCCCTCTTCTTCATGTCTCTTCTACATCAACATGTGTCCCCTCTTCTTCATGTCTCTTCTTCATCAACATGTGTCCCCTCTTCTTCATGTCTCTTCTTCATCAACATGTGTCCCCTCTTCTTCATGTCTCTTCTTCATCAACATGTGTCCCCTCTTCTTCATGTCTCTTCTTCATCAACATGTGTCCCCTCTTCTTCATGTCTCTTCTTCATCAACATGTGTCCCCTCTTCTTCATGTTCTCTTCTTCATCAACATGTGTCCCCTCTTCTTCATGTCTCTTCTTCATCAACATGTGTCCCCTCTGTGGAAAGAGACTCTGAAAGTTTCAGGAACAAAGATTCTCTCTCTTTTTGATCCATTTCTATAAAAACCTGTCTGAAAATGAGCTGATCAGATTTAGTCCACTTGATGTCATAACGATGTTTTGTCTTGTGTAACCATTAGCCAATCAGCAACCAAGGTAACCCCCCCCCCCACCTTATCACCTGAATCTCCTCCTAGAGCACCATTGAGTTCTTTGTAACCAAATCTCTCTCAGAGGGGCGTGGGGAGGGGCTCCTTATTTTCATCTGAAGTAACAGACAGAGAATCAGCACTTTGGAAACAGGGCTGAAACAGAGGGGATTATGGGTAATGCTGCAATGATCTGTTTGGTGTTTCAGCCAATCAGAGACAGGCTCTGGATATATCTGAGACCTGTGATATATTGATGAAGAAGAGGATGATAGGGGACCTTTAAGTCTCTTTTTTTGTTTTCCCACATACTATCCTATGAGTTTTGGTTCAGGTGTGTTACCTGTCAGGTGTGTTACCTGTCAGGTGATAGTGTGTGTTACCTGTCAGGTGATAGTGTGTGTTACCTGTCAGGTGTGTTACCTGTCAGGTGATAGTGTGTGTTACCTGTCAGGTGTGTTACCTGTCAGGTGTGTTACCTGTCAGGTGATAGTGTGTGTTACCTGTCAGGTGTGTTACCTATCAGGTGTGTTACCTGTCAGGTGATAGTGTGTGTTACCTGTCAGGTGATAGTGTGTGTTACCTGTCAGGTGTGTTACCTGTCAGGTGATAGTGTGTGTTACCTGTCAGGTGATAGTGTGTGTTACCTGTCAGGTGATAGTGTGTGTTACCTGTCAGGTGTGTTACCTGTCAGGTGATAGTGTGTGTTACCTGTCAGGTGATAGTGTGTGTTACCTGTCAGGTGTGTTACCTGTCAGGTGATAGTGTGTGTTACCTGTCAGGTGGTAGTGTGTGTTACCTGTCAGGTGTGTTACCTGTCAGGTGATAGTGTGTGTTACCTGTCAGGTGTGTTACCTGTCAGGTGATAGTGTGTGTTACCTGTCAGGTGGTAGTGTGTGTTACCTGTCAGGTGTGTTACCTGTCAGGTGGTAGTGTGTGTTACCTGTCAGGTGTTAGTGTGTGTTACCTGTCAGGTGTGTTACCTGTCAGGTGGTAGTGTTGTGTACCTGTCAGGTGAGTTACCTGTCAGGTGGTAGTGTGTGTTACCTGTCAGGTGAGTTACCTGTCAGGTGATAGTGTGTGTTATCTGTCAGGTGTGTTACCTATCAGGTGTGTTACCTGTCAGGTGGTAGTGTGTGTTACCTGTCAGGTGGTAGTGTGTGTTACCTGTCAGGTGGTAGTGTGAGTTACCTGTCAGGTGGTAGTGTGAGTTACCTGTCAGGTGGTAGTGTGTGTTACCTGTCAGGTGGTAGTGTGAGTTACCTGTCAGGTGGTAGTGTGAGTTACCTGTCAGGTGGTAGTGTGAGTTACCTGTCAGGTGGTAGTGTGTGTTACCTGTCAGGTGGTAGTGTGTGTTACCTGTCAGGTGGTAGTGTGAGTTACCTGTCAGGTGGTAGTGTGAGTTACCTGTCAGGTGGTAGTGTGTGTTACCTGTCAGGTGGTAGTGTGTGTTACCTGTCAGGTGGTAGTGTGAGTTACCTGTCAGGTGGTAGTGTGAGTTACCTGTCAGGTGGTAGTGTGTGTTACCTGTCAGGTGTGTTACCTGTCAGGTGGTAGTGTGTGTTACCTGTCAGGTGTGTTACCTGTCAGGTGGTAGTGTGTGTTACCTGTCAGGTGGTAGTGTGAGTTACCTGTCAGGTTGTAGTGAGGGCCCTTCTGTCTCTTCCTCTCCTCCCTCAGTCTGCGATTCAGGACGTCCTCGACTCCCTTCTTGGTCACATGGAGGATCCCCAGGTTACTGAAACTGAAGGTGAGATCACAGGTAAACAGCTGATCATACATGTTTACATGCAGCGCTGTGATTGGTTACTCTCAGTGTTCTGATTGGTTACTGACGCAGCAGTGAGGTCATTGGGTCCGATGTCCACGCTGCACGTTCCGCTCTCAGTGCAGCAGTTCCTCCCAACGAGACTGTGAGCGTGAACCTGAGGAGGATCACAGTGAGAGACCAGCTGCACCTCCAGACGAGCAGGACCCACGTAGTTATTGATCTGAATACACAATCAATACTATATATTACTACTGTTAAAGTACAAATACTACAGAGAGAAAACACGTACATATTACTGCATATAACTGCAGTTAAAGTACAAATACTACTACATATAACTACATTATACTACACATTACTGCAGTAAAAGTACAAATCCTGCAGATATATCTCCCTTCAGTTTGAGACTGTCTTAGTACCTCGACAGTGTGATGTGTTCTAGTACCTCGACGGTAGGGTATGTTCTAGTACCTCGACGGCAGGGTATGTTCTAGTACCTCGACGGTAGGAGATGTTCTAGTACCTCGACGGTAGGGTATGTTCTAGTACCTCGACGGTAGGGTATGTTCTAGTACCTCGACGGTAGGGTATGTTCTAGTACCTCGACGGTAGGGTATGTTCAAGTACCTCGACGGTAGGAGATGTTCTAGTACCTCGACGGTAGGAGATGTTCTAGTACCTTTGACAGTAGGGTATGTTCAAGTACCTTTGACAGAGTAGGGTATGTTCAAGTACCTTTGACAGAGTAGGGTATGTTCTAGTACCTCGACGGTAGGAGATGTTCTAGTACCTCGACGGTAGGAGATGTTCTAGTACTTTTGACAGTAGGGTATGTTCTAGTACAGGGGTGGGAAATTATTTTTTACAAGGGGCCACTTCAGAAACTCGAGCTGTGTTGGGGGGCCGAATCAAAAATAAGTTGAACTTAATTCTGCTCAATATACCAATACTGAAAAGATGTTTTACAGTATGTTAAAGATAAGAAATGAATCAGCTTTATACAAAAAGAAATGAGTGCTTTTGATTTTTGTTTTTCAAACAATTTAATTTGACTTGTTCAGTGAGAAAAATCCAGTCTGTCTTGGGCTTGAACAAGTGCACGGAAATCTGGTTCAATGTCTGAGGTGGATATGCGAAGGACAGCTGAGAGGTGATCATCAGTGATAGAGGATCTGTATCTGGATTTGTTGAACTTCATCACTGAGAATGTCTGTTCACATATGTAGGTAGATCCAAAGAGGACCATCATCTTCTGAGCACGTCTCCTGATGTGTGGAAAGTTCTCCTCTTTCAGGGAAGAGTAACACTCAGGCAGTGAGACTGACCTAAAGTGCTCTGACAGAAGTGTGTCAGACTGCAGGTCAATGAGTTCAAGCTGAACATCACTGGGGGCATCATCCACATGGCATGTAAATGGGGAAAAGATCATGTTCATTTCATTCTCAACTGTTTTGAAGTCTTTAAATCGCCTTGAAAACTCACCATGCAGTGCTTCTAACATGGATGAGTACCTCTGGAGGTGATCAGCTGATGGTGTGGCTTCCTTCAGTGTTGGCAAGTGCGTGAGAATGTTGTCCTCCATTTGGCTTGAGAGAAGCTGCAGCTTTCTCATGAAAGCCTTCACTGCACTGTACATGTCATGCACAAAAAGGCCCTTGCCTTGCAGTTTGACATTTAGTTCACTCATTAGTGCAGTCACATCTACAGCAAAACCAAGGTCTGCCATCCAGTCTGCATCTGAAAGCTGTGGGATGTCGTTTCCTTTCTTCACACAGAAGTCTTGAATTTCTTCTCTCAGGTCCCATACTCTTTTCAGCACTTTGCCCAGGCTGAGCCACCTGACAGCTGCATGGTAGGGTATGTCACGATGTTCAGTCTCACTTTCCTCCAAAAGTGCAACAAACTGTCTGTGATTCAATGCTCTTGCCCTGATGAAGTTAACTATTTTAGTTACAACATCAACAACATGGTTAATTTTTAACACTGACTTACACAACACTTCCTGATGTATAATACAATGCAAAAATACCTATTTCTGCTCAGGGTTAATTTCTGTCACTTTATCCTGCATTCTCTTCAATAGTCCAACATTTTTCCCTGTCAGATTTGGACAACCATCCGTTGTCACGCCTGCCAGCTTGTCCCATTTCAGTCCCAACTTTTCCACACATGCATTTACCTCCGTGAACAAATCACTCGCTGTTGTTGTACCTTTCATTGACTGCATGGCTGCCAGCTCCTCCGTGATTTTGAAGTCTGTAGTTATCCCACGTAGGAAGATGAGTAGCTGGGCAGTGTCACGTACATCGCAGCTCTCATCCAAAGCCAAGGAAAAAAAGTCAAAGTTGACCGCTCTGTTCTGCAGCTGAAGCTCCAGATTTCCCGCGATGTCCTCAATTCTCCTCGTAACAGTGCGTCGGGAGAGCGGCACTTTCTCAAATGCCTCCTTTTTCTCCGGGCATATTAGTGCGGCAGAGTCCAACAAACACTCCTATGAACTCTCCGTCCGAAAACGGTTAACTTTTAAGACATAACTCGTCTTGACAGCTGCATCTCTGGATGTGGAATGTTTTGTGAAAATGTGTTGTTGGCTTTGCAGCTTAGCTAGCAAAGCATCCGACCCCTTTGCCCGCTCTTCCTCAGACAGGTTCTTGTATTTATCTGCGTGTTTGGTAGCATAGTGGCGACTCAAATTGTACTCCTTGAACACAGCGACCTGCGCACCACAAACTAAACACACAGCTTTACCTTTCACTTCTGTAAATAAATACTTAGCGGTCCATGTCTTGTTGAAAACGCGGCATTCAGTATCGATCTTTCTTTTTTTGCCCTTAGCGGACATTTCGAGGACTAGCCGGCCAGCATCACTCGTAGCTGTTCACGGCATGCGCGTTTACGTAAATACATAAAAAAAACAGCAGCTTCCTTTTCAAAATAAAAGCAACACAGTTAGAAAAGTATTTACGCCATGCCAGCAATACAGCTGTGTTGCTTTTATTTTGAAAAGGTTGCTGTTTTTTTTCATTATGTTATAATTTATGATCAACCTCACACGGGCCGGCCAAGGCCGGCCAACGGGCCGGATGTGGCCCGCGGGCCGTAAAATGCCCACCCCTGTTCTAGTACCTTGACAGTAGGGTATGTTCTAGTACCTTTAACAGTAGGGTATGTTCTAGTACCTTTAACAGTAGGGTATGTTCTAGTACCTTGACAGTAGGGTATGTTCTAGTACCTTTAACAGTAGGGTATGTTCTAGTACCTTGACAGTAGGGTATGTTCTAGTACCTTTAACAGTAGGGTATGTTCTAGTACCTTTAACAGTAGGGTATGTTCTAGTACCTTGACAGTAGGGTAAGTTCTAGTACCTTTGACAGTAGGGTATGTTCTAGTACCTTTAACAGTAGGGTATGTTCTAGTACCTTGACAGTAGGGTATGTTCTGCGGTTCTTCTCGCTCGAGGCCCCCGGCAGTCCTCCGTGAGACGGACCCTCGCACTCATACCGGAACCTGAAGCCCCTCTGAGGGAAGAGTACAGAAAATGATTAATTTATTACATTATTATTATTATTACTTTATTTATGGGGTAATTATCAAAAATAAAATGCATGAAGGGGAATCATAAAGATAATAAATTACAAAATAAATAAACTATCAAATTAATCAGGAAAAAACTTTAAAGGTCCCATGACATGCTTTTCTGGTTCTTACCCATCCCCTTGTGTGTTATGAAGCTTCTGCATGTGAACGGTGTGCAGAGTCACAAACCCTCAAAGTACACCCTGTAGCGAGTAAAGCTCTAACACAGAGAAGACCTGTCTATGCTGCCCCAGAACGCCTCGTTGGACATTTCTCTTTTTCCATTGTTTACTTCCGGGGCATATGGATGTAACGAAGTCCAAATGGACCAATCCGCGGAGCTCCGCACACACGCACACACGCACACACACACACTCACTCAGCCTTTTCTCAGCCGCTGTGCTGCGTGGAGCTCCGTACACACACACACACACTCGGAGCTCAGGCTGAGTTCCTCGGTGTCTCGGTGTCTCGCTGTCTCTCAGACCCCACGCAGCAACCAGGAAACGACAGCAGTAATCCAGCCCACACTGTCCGCTCCTCGAGTCTCAAAGGGCGGAGCAGCGAGCCCCCCCAACGTCCCTCCAACACGGCACCCAGACCCCACGCAGCATTCTCATCTGTTTTTCATTACTGGTGTCATTTCCTGGTTGCTAACAAACGCCATTGTAAAACATAATCACTGATGTTCCGCTGTAACGGTGGTGGACTCATCAGAACAGAGTGGGCGAGCTGACCAATCAGAGCACAGTGGGCTCACAGGGAGGGGGGGGCAGGAGCTCCAACAAGCCGTGTAGGACAGAGAGTGAATACACAGACTATACAGAGATGCTGTATGAGAAACCAATGTGAATCTATTCTAGTAGACCTCAACAATGGAACTATGATCAGTAGAAATGGTCATGTCATGGGACCTTTAAAATATTCATCAGCTGCACAGACAATTTGAATGCTGGAAATTAAAGGATGTGGTGCATCAAAAAATGCATTTTAAAATAAAAATAAAATAAATACATCATATTTGTATTTATTTTATTCTCACCTGTTTGGGCTCCTCGATGATCTGGATGTACGGCCCGTGAGCTGAAACACAATACACTTTATTTAAAGACACAAAGATACCGTTAACTCCCACTGTTTCACAGCTCAGAGGCTTTAAAGCAGGTGTTTCCCCTGTCGCTGCAAGGGCTTCTGGGTAATGTAGTTTTTAACACAAGTAGGAATTTCTCATGTGAACAAATGAATAAGACGTTCCTGGAAAATAAAGGCTTCAGTTTGGGGGGAATCTCCGCTGACTGATTGTGTGAGTGAGGTCTTAGTGTGACTGCCTTCCCTTAGCCTGTTTCTATAAATCAGGAGAAAAGTCTGAGTTTCACTTTTAGTTTGACAGAAAACCCAAATTATTAGTCATCAGATTATATTCTACATTTCTGTTTCTGCTGCTAATAAATAAATAAATTAACCAACAAATGGAAGAAAATAAATAATATATTGTTTATTCTTCATCAATAAAATGAAGATTAAATATGTGTACCTACATTCTCGTCTCCACACGATGGAAATATTGAACCAGTTTGAATTACTGAAATTACCTCTGATATAAAATAACAGATATAAATATTGTTAGTAATTAATTTGATTTATTTAAAGTTTATTCTTAGGAAAATATTATTTTTAATTGAATCTTAAATTGTTGTTAAAGTTTAAAATGATTTAGAAAAACTCAGCTCAACAGGGGAGTTCCCTCAAACAGTCGACACACACACACACACACACACACACACACACACACACACACACACACACACACACACACACACACACACACACACACACACACACACACACACACACACACACACACACACACACACACACACACACACACACACACACACACACACACACACACACACAATTTATTTTTATTTTTATTTAAGTTTAATTCTTAGGAAATTTTTTAGGTTAATCTTAAATTGTTGAAAAGTTAAAAAAATTATTTCCAGGTCTAAAAAAAATCCCTTCAGGCTCCACAAACTTTAACTAACTGGTTCATATTTAATTATTGTTAGGGAATAATTTGCTTAGGTATTCAACCTTCGACACAGTTCATGATGTTCTCCTCTCACTGTCTCTTTCCCACGGCACAGGTCTACGGCCTTGGGTTCTGCTGCTATCTCTCTGAAGGAGGAGCAGCTTGGGCGCGTTGTTGTTGCCAGTCTGACCGAGCACAAGCCGCCATGAGGTAGTTTACTGTTCAGGGACGAAGGTTCCCTGGCGCACATTATTTTCTATGGACGAGAGCTCTAGTTAGATTCAGGGTCCTCAGCAGTTTAGTCTATCTATTGAAGAATGTTGATCATTACACTCTGAACTGGTTAAACCCTGGAGCTAGGAGGGGTCTTCAGAATTGATTGTGGCATCTCGACCGTGTGGTCAGACCGTGGCCCGTGACATGTCTTGTGAATTCTCCGGCCGAAGCTCCAGCTCTCCTCGTGTCTCTCTGAGTACTACTCTAGCTTCCTCTCTTGTTTTATTGTGTAATATGTTAACGTATTAAGGTGTTACCGGTCTCTGGGATGTACGGCTCGGTCTTGATGTCGACTGGAGGAATGTAGTCGTACGGCATCAGATTCATCTGCAGCTGAAACACAAACAGATCAATAACAAACATATAAACTGGAACTAATGTCAAATGAAATCCCACAATAATAACCAATAAGTCGTATCTCACCTCGCTGTCGTACGAGTTGATGAACTGAGCTTCAGACATCCTGTAACACAGTTAGAGTTACATATAAATGTGTCTTTGATTGTGTTTATAGGTTTATACGTGTTTTTATGTATCTTTGTTTTTGTATTCTGGATTGTGGGAAACGGCATTTCGATCTCTCCGAACACACAAACTGGAAGACTGACAATAAAGTTGACTTTGACTTTTTTATCGACACACATGTAAATATATCTAAATATGTATATATTAGTCCAGGACTACTGCAATGCACTCCTCATCGGGATCCCTAACAAAAGCATCCAGAAGCTCCAGAACATTCAGAGCTGCTAGGGTCCTGATGAGGGTCCTCATACTTCCTCACCCACCAGTGCTTCCATGGAACTGCCCCTCCCTACCTCAAGGACCCCCTCACCAGTGTTTCCGCCAGACCAGGGCTGAGAGGGCGTCCACCCCGAGAGCAGGGGGGTTGAATTTGGACTTGAGCCGTCCCAGCAAAGCCAACCTCCTCAAACCCCCCAGGACCAACCTCCTCAAACCCCCCAGGACCAACCTCCTCAAACCCCCCAGGACCAACCTCCTCAAACCCCCCAGGACCAACCTCCTCAAACCCCCCAGGACCAACCTCCTCAAACCCCCCAGGACCAAGCTCCTCAAACCCCCCAGGACCAACCTCCTCAAACCCCCCAGGACCAAGCTCCTCAAACCCCCCAGGACCAAGCTCCTCAAACCCCCCAGGACCAACCTCCTCAAACCCCAGGACCAAGCTCCGTACTATGGGAGACCGGGCTTTCTGCTCGGCTGCTCCCAGTCTGTGGAAGGCTCTCCCCGACCACATGAGAGCACCACAGACCGTGAAGGCTTTTAAAAAAGGCCTCAAAACCCATCTCTTCAAAAGAGCCTTTCCCCAGACCTTTTATTTATTACCACCCTTTTATTTTATTTGATATTGTTAGTTTTTACTGCTTTTTATTCATTCTACCGTGTTGTGTGCTGTTTCTATATTGTTCCATGCTCACTGCTTGTAGCACTTCGGGATCTGAACTCAGATATGAAGTGCGTTATAAATGAAACCCAAATATCTATATGTTCATTTTAATTCATTTCTTATTTTAAAGTTACTTAACTGTATATCATTTTAATTCTTATCTTTGATTTAATCTCTAATCTGTGTGAATCTATGCTGTTTTTCATTCTCACCCTGCTGCTGTTTAAACATCTGAATGAATAAAGCTCCATCTCATCTTAGAGGCTTTTACTCTGAAAGGGCTCAGACAGGAAACACCTCCTCTCTGTCTGACAGAAAAAGTCCCGACAAAAGAAATCCAGCGAGTTTCACTTTCACAGAGGTCCTCGAACACAACGCTCTCTCCCCCCCCCCCCCCCCCACTCTGTCACTTCCTGGAAGCAGCCGAGGAAAACCCCCAAAACTCCAGAGCGGAGGGGGCGGGGCTTATGATGATGATGTCATCGCAACAGCAGAAAACCCCAGTGTAAACATGCAGTAACATCACTGCTGTTTACTGGATACTGAAGTCTCATACTCCTTTACAGCTCAATCAACAATATACATGAAAAGGAATTCAATAATGTAAGAGACATAATGGTGCAAGTCAAATGCAGCAAATATATACAAAATTAAAGTAAATAAATACATATATTTTGATATAAAGATCTATTGATATATGTATTTGTATACTCTGCTATGTTTTATTTTCTTATTCTGTTGTTTTAGTATCTTTAATGTGTAATGACCGGTAATAAGGGGAGGAGCTAAAAGCACAGGATGCAGCCCTTTCAAAATAAAGTTGGCAGTATTTTTGGGGGAATATTTGCGCATAAGGGGTAACTAAATCCTGAAGAATACAAAAGGACTCTTTAAAGTAGAGACACTACATACTGATATACACCTGAACATCAGCAGGAGAGGACTCTTTAAAGTAGATACACTACATACTGATATACACCTGAACATCAGCAGGAGAGGACTCTTTAAAGTAGAGACACTACATACTGATATACACCTGAACATCAGCAGGAGAGGACTCTTTAAAGTAGAGACACTACATACTGATATACACCTGAACATCAGCAGGAGAGGACTCTTTAAAGTAGAGACACTACATACTGATATACACCTGAACATCAGCAGGAGAGGACTCTTTAAAGTAGAGACACTACATACTGATATACACCTGAACATCAGCAGGAGAGGACTCTTTAAAGTAGAGACACTACATACTGATATACACCTGAACATCAGCAGGAGAGGACTCTTTAAAGTAGAGACACTACATACTGATATACACCTGAACTTCAGCAGGAGAGGACTCTTTAAAGTAGAGACACTACATACTGATATACACCTGAACATCAGCAGGAGAGGACTCTTTAAAGTAGAGACACTACATACTGATATACACCTGAACATCAACAGGAGAGGACTCTTTAAAGTAGAGACACTAGATACTGATATACACCTGAACATCAGCAGGAGAGGACTCTTTAAAGCAGAGACACTACATACTGATATACACCTGAACATCAGCAGGAGAGGACTCTTTAAAGTAGAGACACTACATACTGATATACACCTGAACATCAGCAGGAGAGGACTCTTTAAAGTAGAGACACTACAGACTGATATACACCTGAACATCAGCAGGAGAGGACTCTTTAAAGTAGAGACACTACATACTGATATGCACCTGAACATCAGCAGGAGAGGACTCTTTAAAGTAGAGACACTACATACTGATATACACCTGAACATCAGCAGGAGAGGACTCTTTAAAGTAGAGACACTACATACTGATATACACCTGAACATCAGCAGGAGAGGACTCTTTAAAGTAGAGAATAAATGCAAAGTTACCTGATAGCTCCCGCCATCTTCTTCTTCTTCTCTAGTCAGATGCGATGGAGTCATAAAAACCTCAGCGGGTATTTCCACTTCCTCCTCCTCCTCCTCTTCTTCGTCGTCAGTTATTTTGGGACTCCTGGATCAACAGACAAACAACAAACAGTTAACATCGCTTTTAATTTCTGATCCCTTCCTTCATGGTCTCTTATTGTGAAATGACACGTTTGTCTTCAAGCTGCCAGAAGCGTCTCTGCACACGGTCATCATACTTATTCATCTTTCTAAAGATGAATAAGTATGTAAGCGAGGTCTGTCTATCACCTTTGCTCTAAAAACAAGACAAACACTCAACAAATAGTCTCTTTAATAAATTCAAACTAAAAAAAGGAAGATTTAGTTAATTTCTTAGTTATTTCTGACTGATTCATTTACCGCTTTTAAGAGACAATACAAATAGAAACAACTCTTACCATGGAAAGAGGTGGTAAATTGAGTTAAAGTGAGTTTAAATTCAGCTTCAAATCCACTTAAATCTTATATAATAAAGTGTGTTTTCCTCCTGCAGCTTCACAAACACATGTTCATGTCTATCTGAGCTCCTTGTGTTCACATAGAAACATCCCGATGAGTTAAAGTACATTATAATGATCATTTTAAACCTGTCACATTCAACTGAAGCTTCATTTGAAGGGTTTTTAGGATGAAATTGACTGTTTTTGCTCAAAGAGTCACAGGTTTTACGTCACATTAGAGCAAATGTGAATAAAGGGTTAATCCTGCAGCTTCACTAACACTTCTATCGATTCCTCAGCTCTTTATATTGATAATTAAACTCACTACTGGATTAAAGACGTGTCACGTGTTCTGAATTGACCAATCAGAATGCAGTATTCAACTAAACCATGTAATAACTTAAATGAACGTTACATATTTACTGTAATGGTGACAGTTAAAGGAAACGGAAGGGTTTGTTTGTCTTTGCGTGATGACGTCACTGTTCTGAGTTATAAGTTAATAAGAGTTAATATGAAGCTTTTTAATGTAAAGTGAAGTTTAAAGAGGTTTCTACCTGTTTGTGTCTCCGCTGCAGATCCGACTGTCTGAAGACACTGGGGGAAAGCTGCTGAAACACACCTGCAGCTACTTCCGGTGCCAATTTTTCAGAGTAAAACCTGTTTATTTCAACCGCTATAAGTTTTGTCTAATAAAGGTTGTTTTTGTTGTATTTACTCAATGGCTTTAGATGCTAGTTCAATGCTAGTTCAATGCTAGTTCAATGGTGTTTTGAAAAAAAAGACGTTTATATTAAATACTATATATTTATAACAATAATTAAATAATGTAATGTTCTACAATCAAAAAAGCCTATTTTAACCCTATTATGAACATTCTTTATTATTATACAAGTGTTATTTTAGATATTTACAGAGGTTTTAAGTGTTTAATTTCAAAGTAATGCTCCTGTCCGCTGCAGCAGTTCGCCGTCAGTAAACACAGACTCTTATTCTGAAGGGAAGCTCTCCGCACCGGAAGCAGCTCGGCGGTGTTGTCACGGTAACCAGCGGCCTGGCAGTCAGAGCGGAAAGCCCCGAGCTCGAGGGGAATTCCGGAGCCAAACAGCCCGCTGATTGGTGGAGGAGGCAGAAGGTAATCCCCGCCCACTCCAAGTGCTTTTATTATTACTTTTATTATATGTATTATTATTTAATTCTCTTTAGTGCAAAGTGAAAAGAAAATAATACAAAATAAATCGTGAAATTATATGAAATATTTTTTCTTTAAGTTCAATATTTTATACACGTGTTGAAAAAATTATTAAAAACTGAAATGCTAAAATTATGCAACATTATTATTTCATTATGAATGACATTTTATTTGTGATTATCAGCAAATTATCTGTTAAATATAAATTAGTTTGAATAAATACCCAGACAACAATACAATATCTGAGCCTGTTTGTTAATAAACTGAATGGTACAATAATTAAAGGGGACCTATCATGCAAAATGCACTTTTGTACGTCTTTTATACATGAATATGTGTCCCCGGTGTTCCAGGGAACTCACCAAGTGTCAGAAAACACAACCCTCTCTATTTTCCTCCATACCCAAATCTCTAAAAAAGGGGCTGCAACAGATCTGATAAAAACTGATCCAGATTTGAACACTGTCCTGACGTCAGGACGGTGCCGCTACGGCTATTGGGCCAACTCCACCAATCAGGAGGAGACAGCCACGGCCATTGCCGTTCGAAAGCGCTGGAGACGCTGTAGTACATATGCCAGGCCTGTAAGTGGCGCTGTAGTCTGCCACAAAAGCAGCGAAGAAGACTTCCCGCCCGTAGTTACCATGGTTACCCTTCTGGTTAAGCTCCGCTGTGGCTTTCTTTCTCCCTCCCCGAGGCAAGCGTTTGCTCCCGCTGCTTTAATTCAATGCAATCCCTCCCCGTCGAGGCAAGCACTGTAACTCTCTCCGGTTAGTCCACCAGCAGATGACAAACACCCACCTCTCCGCCTCTTCCAAGGAACCAGGGGACCGTGCGGCAGAGTTTCAGTTTCAGTTTCTTTCGCCGGTCAAGATGTCCGTTAAAGTTTAAATCTTCCAGACAAAATTAGAAAAGTGCCGGTCAAAGGTCTTCTTTGTTATTTATTGAGCTTTAAAACAAATGAATAACGACTCTATATAATAAAACACGGAGGACGGAGATCTCTTTTTCTCCCCCTCTTCTGACAGCCCAGCAGCTGATCAGAGCACGTCTCCCCTCTCCTGCAGGGGGGCGTGGTCAGCAGAATCAGACCCGTAGACAGCAAACAGCACATAGAGCGAAATGAGGCATGGCTAAAATGCATGATCTGTTTGGTATTTTGAAAACAGAAACGTATAAATATACCTGATATAGGTATGGCCCTACAATACATCATTTAAATATAACATGATAGGTCCACTTTAAATAACCTTTTAAAGTCCTATGTAAATATATATGAGTATAAATGGATGAAATATGAGGAACATTTTAATATAAATACAGAAAAGAGTAACTTTTTATCACAACATTTTGAATTGGTTAATAAAGATTTTGCCTCAAGACTTAAACTAAGTGCTCTGACAGGGTAACAGGGTAACACACACACACACACACACACACACACACACACACACACACACACACACACACACACACACACACACACACACACACACACACACACACACACACACACACACACACACACACACACACACACACACACACACACACACACACACACACACACACACACACCGTGTTATTGGGCTATTTAAATAAACTCTAATGGCACTTTAAATAAAAACACTTGAAACCAGATTTATTTTACACTTTATTTCCGCTGTAACATTTTAACAAAAAAGAAAATTCCCTTTTTACACAGACACAACAAATCAGAGCAGAAAATACAGTTACCTGAAAACATCCAGCATTTAAACCCCTGACATTATCCTGTAAGGCTTCAGGTGATCAAAGGTGAGACACCTGGTGTTTCTGCATAGTTCCTTAAGAGGTCAACTCTGTGGGACAAAGATTCTCTCTCTTTGATCCATTTCTATCAAAACCTGTCTGAAAATGAGCTGATCAGATTTTGGCCACTTGATGTCATAACGATGTGTTGTCTTGTGTAACCATTAGCCAATCAGCAACCAAGGTAACCCCCCCCCCCCTTATCACCATTGAGTTCTTTGTAACCACATCTCTCTCAGAGGGGCGTGGGGAGGGGCTCCTTATTTTCATCTAAAGTAACACACAGAGGCCCAATCCCAAACCACTCCCTCGACCCTACCCCTCCGTCTGTAGCCACACTCGCAGCTGAATGAAGTTCCCTCCATTAAGGGTTAAGGCGCACCGCATTGGGACGGCCTCCTCTCTCCGGCAGAAACAGGAAATGCCGCAACTGTATGTAGCAACGGTTTCAAATCAGCATCTCTTTGACCAAACATTTAAATTAAGAACTCAAATAAAACTCTAAACATCTTTCATTGTGTTACTTTTTCTGTAAAGCTCTTTTAGTTTTAAACCTGTGTAGGGTGGAGGGGGCGGTTTGGGATTGGGCCAGAGAATCAGTACTTTGGAAACAGGGCTGAAACAGAGGGGATTATGGGTAATGCTGCAATGATCTGTTTGGTGTTTCAGCCAATCAGAGACAGGCTCTGGATATATCTGAGACCTGTGATATATTGATGAAGAAGAGGATGATAGGGGACCTTTAATGTTCAGAGAGACAGAAGATAGGCGTCATACTTCTCAGACTAACTGCTCGGGGAACATGATCCGAAACTAAAAGTAAAAACAAGATTTTTGGTTTAAATGTAAAATAAAGAGTAAAAACAGCTGAAGATCATTGAGGTTTTATAAAGAGGGAACTTGTGTCTTCATTATGCAACACACACCGGAGGGTTCACGGCGACTCATTCTCTAAATGCAAATTCATCATTTGTTTCAAATCTAAGAAATAGGTTTTTGTGAGAAAAAAAAATGGTATTCTAAGATTTTACTTCCAAATCTCAACATTTCTCGTTTCCAAAAACTTTTTATTTTTTTGTATTATTATTTTTTTTAAACAAATCTCCCATTTTGTTTACAAATTTAAAAAAAAATGTTTTTGCAAATCTACATTTTTGTCTCAACATTTAGTTTCTAATTCTAAAATGTTGTTGACAAATCAATAACAACATTTTAAAATCTTAAATGTATTCGACTTTTAGATTGACGTGTTCTCTTGCATCATCACATAACAAAGACACATTTCCACCCCAGAAAGCCATTGATCTCCGTTTGAGGGGAACACACAGCTCCATCGTCATCATGTTCTAACTGCACACAGTATGGCTTCTTCTTCCTTTAGCCACTTTGGTTACATTAGTAAAGTGACCCTTTAATAATCTCCAACAGGCATCCCATAATAAAGTCCTGAGCGATGTGTAACCTCCATCTTTGATAAATATATAACCCTTAAACCCAGAGACACGGCCAAAGGATTGTGGACGCCTAAAAACACCTTTCAGTTCTTCAGATACACTTTAATCATGTTCCAAAGATTACACTCTAAACATATTCCCAGCTCTCGTGTGTGTGTGTGTGTGTGTGTGTGTGTGTGTGTGTGTGTGTGTGTGTGTGTGTGTGTGTGTGTGTGTGTGTGTGTGTGTGTGTGTGTAAAATAAGCTGAGTCCCGCCTGGTTGTACACCTGGAACACCTCCTCGATGGCGTTATCACAGAGCCATTAAAGGGAACAAAATAAAGTAATAACAGAGGCGGGGAAAGAGTCATATTCAGAGAGAAAACCCCAAATCATTTCTATACAAAAAAACTTGAACATCCCAGACAGAAACCGAATGTAATTTGTGGATTTTTTGTCGTTAACTTTTGACTTTTTTCCTGTAAATTTACAAGAAAGAAATTTGTTTATAAAAAAAATTCCCAAGTAAATTAGTGTTTTTTTTTTCTTTTTTTTCTCATACATTTACAAGTGAGTGATTCTGTTTCTTATAAATGACATGTTTTCAATTTGTGACATTTTTTCTTCTCAAGTTTTGACTTTTTTACTGTACATTTAAAAAAAAAACACATTTCTTTCCACGGAGGTTAGTATTATTCCTGCGTCCACAGACCTTTGGCCCTTAGTCACACGCAGAGGCTAGAGGCCCTTAGGCTGGAGGCCCTTAGTCACACGCAGAGGCTAGAGGCCCTTAGGCTGGAGGCCCTTAGTCACACGCAGAGGCTAGAGGCCCTTAGTCACACGCAGAGGCTGGAGGCCCTTAGGCTGGAGGCCCTTAGTCACACGCAGAGGCTAGAGGCCCTTAGGCTGGAGGCCCTTAGTCACACGCAGAGGCTGGAGGCCCTTAGTCACACGCAGAGGCTAGGCCCTTAGTCACACGCAGAGGCTAGAGGCCCTTAGGCTGGAGGCCCTTAGTCACACGCAGAGGCTGGAGGCCCTTAGTCACACGCAGAGGCTAGGCCCTTAGTCACACGCAGAGGCTGGAGGCCCTTAGGCTAGAGGCCCTTAGTCACACGCAGAGGCTAGAGGCCCTTAGTCACACGCAGAGGCTAGAGGCCCTTAGTCACACGCAGAGGCTGGAGGCCCTTAGTCACACGCAGAGGCTAGAGGCCCTTAGGCTAGAGGCCCTTAGTCACACGCAGAGGCTGGAGGCCCTTAGTCACACGCAGAGGCTGGAGGCCCTTAGTCACACGCAGAGGCTGGAGGCCCTTAGTCACACGCAGAGGCTAGAGGCCCTTAGGCTAGAGGCCCTTAGTCACACGCAGAGGCTGGAGGCCCTTAGTCACACGCAGAGGCTAGAGGCCCTTAGGCTAGAGGCCCTTAGTCACACGCAGAGGCTAGAGGCCCTTAGTCACACGCAGAGGCTAGAGGCCCTTAGTCACACGCAGAGGCTAGGCCCTTAGTCACACGCAGAGGCTAGAGGCCCTTAGTCACACGCAGAGGCTGGAGGCCCTTAGTCACACGCAGAGGCTGGAGGCCCTTAGTCACACGCAGAGGCTAGGCCCTTAGTCACACGCAGAGGCTGGAGGCCCTTAGTCACACGCAGAGGCTGGAGGCCCTTAGTCACACGCAGAGGCTAGGCCCTTAGTCACACGCAGAGGCTGGAGGCCCTTAGTCACACGCAGAGGCTGGAGGCCCTTAGTCACACGCAGAGGCTAGAGGCCCTTAGGCTAGAGGCCCTTAGTCACACGCAGAGGCTGGAGGCCCTTAGGCTAGAGGCCCTTAGTCACACGCAGAGGCTAGAGGCCCTTAGTCACACGCAGAGGCTGGAGGCCCTTAGGCTAGAGGCCCTTAGTCACACGCAGAGGCTGGAGGCCCTTAGTCACACGCAGAGGCTAGAGGCCCTTAGGCTAGAGGCCCTTAGGCTAGAGGCCCTTAGTCACACGCAGAGGCTGGAGGCCCTTAGGCTAGAGGCCCTTAGTCACACGCAGAGGCTAGAGGCCCTTAGTCACACGCAGAGGCTGGAGGCCCTTAGGCTAGAGGCCCTTAGTCACACGCAGAGGCTGGAGGCCCTTAGTCACACGCAGAGGCTAGAGGCCCTTAGGCTAGAGGCCCTTAGTCACACGCAGAGGCTAGAGGCCCTTAGTCACACGCAGAGGCTAGAGGCCCTTAGTCACACGCAGAGGCTAGAGGCCCTTAGTCACACGCAGAGGCTAGAGGCCCTTAGTCACACGCAGAGGCTAGAGGCCCTTAGTCACACGCAGAGGCTAGAGGCCCTTAGTCACACGCAGAGGCTAGGCCCTTAGTCACACGCAGAGGCTAGAGGCCCTTAGTCACACGCAGAGGCTAGGCCCTTAGTCACACGCAGAGGCTAGAGGCCCTTAGGCTAGAGGCCCTTAGTCACACGCAGAGGCTAGAGGCCCTTAGTCACACGCAGAGGCTAGAGGCCCTTAGGCTGGAGGCCCTTAGTTACACGCAGAGGCTAGAGGCCCTTAGGCTGGAGGCCCTTAGTCACACGCAGAGGCTAGAGGCCCTTAGGCTGGAGGCCCTTAGTCACACGCAGAGGCTAGAGGCCCTTAGTCACACGCAGAGGCTGGAGGTGAGGCTTTATAGGGTTGGATCATCTCTCTTTATACTTTGGTTGAGATTTGCAGAAGAAGAATTAAAGCTGTGAAACCGAAGTTTGTGCAAAAAACTGTAAACGCTGAGAAATCCTGCAGACAGACAGGAAACAGACAGACAGGAAACAGACAGACAGGAAACAGACAGACAGGAAACAGACAGACAGGTAACAGACAGACAGGTAACAGACAGACAGTAGACAGGTAACAGACAGGTGAGAGACAGACAGGTAACAGACAGGTGACAGACAGGTGAGAGACAGACAGGTGACAGACAGACAGGTAACAGACAGGTGACAGACAGGTGACAGACACACAGGTGACAGACAGACAGGTGACAGACAGGTAGGTGAGAGACAGACAGGTAACAGACAGGTGACAGACAGGTAACAGGCAGGTGACAGACAGGCAACAGACAGGTAACAGACAGGTGACAGACAGGTAACAGACAGGTAACAGACAGGTGACAGACACACAGGTGACAGACAGACAGGTGACAGACAGACAGTTGGACTATTCCAAAAATAAAATGATCCGAATATTTTGAGAAAGACTGTAGGAATAGTTTGTGAAAAAGAGTTCTAGAAAATGAAATGTTTTTAGAAAATATCAGATATTCTGTAAAAAAAATCATAACAATTTCAGAAGAAATAAAATTGGGTAGAACCCCGGAATGTTTTGTGAAATAAATCCCAACAATTTTGAGGGGAAAAATACATATTTCTGATAAAACCCGAAAGAATCTGACTTAAAACGTAACAGACGTGTAACAGACAGTTGTGTGTGTGTGTGTGTGTGTGTATGTATGTATGTATGTATGTATGTATGTATGTATGTATGTATGTGTGTGTGTGTGTGTCTCTAAGATAAGCTGAGGCCCGCCTGGTTGTACACCTGGAACACCTTCTCGATGGCGTTCACGTACGCTGCCGTCCTCAGATCCAAACCCAGGTTGTACGTGTTGGCCGTCCGCATGATTGCCTGCAGGAGAAGAGACAACAGAAGAAGAGTGAACAAGTGAGCTGATCTCTGCTGCCCTCTGGTGGACAAACACACCTTTACATGTCAGGTAGATAACACCTGTGAAATGTCTTGGTTTAAAGAGGCCGTATTCAAGGCTTAGAGTTCACAGCTACAGTTTAGAGATCACAGCTACAGTTTAGAGTTCACAGCTACAGTTTAGAGATCACAGCTACAGTTTAGAGATCACAGCTACAGTTTAGAGATCACAACCACAGTTTAGAGATCACAGCTACAGTTTAGAGTTCACAGTTTAGAGATCACAGTTTAGAGATCACAGTTTAGAGATCACAGCTACAGTTTAGAGATCACAGTTTAGAGATCACAGCTACAGTTTAGAGTTCACAGTTTAGAGATCACAGTTTAGAGATCACAGTTTAGAGATCACAGCTACAGTTTAGAGATCACAGTTTAGAGTTCACAGCTACAGTTTAGAGATCACAGCTACAGTTTAGAGATCACAGTTTAGAGTTCACAGCTACAGTTTAGAGATCACAGTTTAGAGATCACAGCTACAGTTTAGAGTTCACAGTTTAGAGATCACAGTTTAGAGATCACAGTTTAGAGATCACAGCTACAGTTTAGAGATCACAGTTTAGAGTTCACAGTTTAGAGATCACAGTTTAGAGATCACAGCTACAGTTTAGAGATCACAGTTTAGAGATCACAGCTACAGTTTAGAGATCACAGCTACAGTTTAGAGATCACAGCTACAGTTTAGAGATCACAGCTACAGTTTAGAGATCACAGTTTAGAGTTCACAGCTACAGTTTAGAGATCACAGCTACAGTTTAGAGATCACAGTTTAGAGTTCACAGCTACAGTTTAGAGATCACAGCTACAGTTTAGAGATCACAGCTACAGTTTAGAGTTCACAGCTACAGTTTAGAGTTCACAGCTACAGTTTAGAGTTACGTTTAGTTAGAGATCACAGTTTAGAGATCACAGCTACAGTTTAGAGATCACAGTTTAGAGTTCACAGCTACAGTTTAGAGATCACAGCTACAGTTTAGAGATCACAGCTACAGTTTAGAGTTCACAGCTACAGTTTAGAGTTCACAGCTACAGTTTAGAGATCACAGTTTAGAGATCACAGCTACAGTTTAGAGATCACAGCTACAGTTTAGAGATCACAGCTACAGTTTAGAGTTCACAGTTACAGTTTAGAGATCACAGCTACAGTTTAGAGATCACAGCTACAGTTTAGAGATCACAGCTACAGTTTAGAGATCACAGCTACAGTTTAGAGATCACAGTTTAGAGTTCACAGCTACAGTTTAGAGATCACAGTTTAGAGATCACAGCTACAGTTTAGAGATCACAGCTACAGTTTAGAGATCACAGCTACAGTTTAGAGATCACAGTTTAGAGTCCACAGCTACAGTTTAGAGATCACAGCTACAGTTTAGAGATCACAGCTACAGTTTAGAGATCACAGCTACAGTTTAGAGATCACAGTTTAGAGATCACAGCTACAGTTTAGAGTTCACAGCTACAGTTTAGAGATCACAGCTACAGTTTAGAGATCACAGTTTAGAGATCACAGCTACAGTTTAGAGTTCACAGCTACAGTTTAGAGATCACAGCTACAGTTTAGAGTTCACAGCTACAGTTTAGAGATCACAGCTACAGTTTAGAGATCACAGCTACAGTTTAGAGATCAGTTTAGAGATCACAGCTACAGTTTAGAGATCACAGCTACAGTTTAGAGATCACAGCTACAGTTTAGAGAGATCACAGCTACAGTTTAGAGATCACAGCTACAGTTTAGAGATCACAGCTACAGTTTAGAGATCACAGTTTAGAGATCACAGCTACAGTTTAGAGATCACAGCTACAGTTTAGAGATCACAGTTTAGAGTTCACAGCTACAGTTTAGAGATCACAGCTACAGTTTAGAGATCACAGTTTAGAGATCACAGCTACAGTTTAGAGTTCACAGCTACAGTTTAGGAGTCACAGCTACAGTTTAGAGAGCACAGCTACAGTTTTAGAGATCACAGCTACAGTTTTAGAGATCACAGTTTAGAGTTTCACAGCTACAGTTTAGAGATCACAGCTACAGTTTAGAGATCACAGTTTAGAGATCACAGCTACAGTTTAGAGTTCACAGCTACAGTTTAGAGATCACAGCTACAGTTTAGAGATCACAGTTTAGATTTCACAGCTACAGTTTAGAGATCACAGCTACAGTTTAGAGTTCACAGTTTAGAGATCACAGCTACAGTTTAGAGTTCACAGCTACAGTTTAGAGATCACAGCTACAGTTTAGAGTTCACAGCTACAGTTTAGAGATCACAGCTACAGTTTAGAGATCACAGTTTAGAGATCACAGCTACAGTTAGAGATCACAGCTACAGTTTAGAGATCACAGCTACAGTTTTAGAGATCACAGCTACAGTTAGAGATCACAGTTTGATCACAGCTACAGTTTAGAGATCACAGCTACAGTTTTAGAGATCACAGTTTAGAGTTCACAGCTACAGTTTAGAGATCACAGCTACAGTTTAGAGATCACAGTTTAGAGATCACAGCTACAGTTTAGAGTTCACAGCTACAGTTTAGAGATCACAGTTTAGAGATCACAGCTACAGTTTAGAGTTCACAGCTACAGTTTAGAGATCACAGCTACAGTTTAGAGATCACAGCTACAGTTTAGAGTTCACAGCTACAGTTTAGAGTTCACAGCTACAGTTTAGAGTTCACAGTTTAGAGATCACAGCTACAGTTTAGAGATCACAGTTTAGAGATCACAGTTTAGAGTTCACAGCTACAGTTTAGAGATCACAGTTTAGAGATCACAGCTACAGTTTAGAGATCACAGTTTAGAGATCACAGTTTAGAGTTCACAGCTACAGTTTAGAGATCACAGCTACAGTTTAGAGTTCACAGCTACAGTTTAGAGATCACAGCTACAGTTTAGAGATCACAGTTTAGAGATCACAGCTACAGTTTAGAGATCACAGCTACAGTTTAGAGTTCACAGCTACAGTTTAGAGATCACAGTTACAGTTTAGAGATCACAGCTACAGTTTAGAGATCACAGTTTAGAGATCACAGCTACAGTTTAGAGATCACAGCTACAGTTTAGAGATCACAGTTTAGAGATCACAGCTACAGTTTAGAGATCACAGCTACAGTTTAGAGAATCCACAGTTTAGAGTTCACAGCTACAGTTTAGAGATCACAGCTACAGTTTAGAGTTCACAGCTACAGTTTAGAGATCACAGCTACAGTTTAGAGTTCACAGTTTAGAGATCACAGCTACAGTCACAGCTACAGTTTAGAGTTCACAGTTTAGAGATCACAGCTACAGTTTAGAGATCACAGCTACAGTTTAGAGTTCACAGTTTAGAGATCACAGCTACAGTTTAGAGATCACAGCTACAGTTTAGAGTTCACAGTTTAGAGATCACAGCTACAATTTAGAGATCACAGTTTAGAGATCACAGCTACAGTTTAGAGTTCACAGCTACAGTTTAGAGTTCACAGCTACAGTTTAGAGTTCACAGTTTAGAGATCACAATCACAGCTACAGTTTAGAGATCACAGCTACAGTTTAGAGATCACAGCTACAGTTTAGAGATCACAGTTTAGAGATCACAGCTACAATTTAGAGATCACAGTTTAGAGATCACAGCTACAGTTTAGAGTTCACAGCTACAGTTTAGAGATCACAGCTACAGTTTAGAGATCACAGCTACAGTTTAGAGATCACAGTTTAGAGATCACAGCTACAGTTTAGAGATCACAGTTTAGAGTTCACAGCTACAGTTTAGAGATCACAGCTACAGTTTAGAAGATCACAGCTACAGTTTAGAGTTCACAGCTAGTTTAGAGTTCACAGCTACAGTTTAGAGATCACACAGTTTAGAGATCACAGCTACAGTTTAGAGATCACAGCTACAGTTAGAGATCACAGCTACAGTTTAGAGTTCACAGTGTACAGTTTAGAGATCACAGCTACAGTTTAGAGATCACAGCTACAGTTTAGAGATCACAGCTACCAGTTTAGAGTTCACAGCTACAGTTTTAGAGATACAGCTACAGTATTAGAGATCACAGTTTAGAGTTCACAGCTACAGTTTAGAGATCACAGTTACAGTTTAGAGATCACAAGCTACGAGTTTAGAGATCACAGCTACAGTTTAGAGATCACAGCAGACATTTAGAGATCACAGTTTTAGAGTTCAGCAGCTACAGTTTAGAGATCACAGCTACAGTTTAGAGATCACAGCTACAGTTTAGAGATCACAGCTAACAGTTTAGAGATCACAGTTTTAGAGATCACAGCTACAGTTTTAGAGTTCACAGCTGACAGTTTAGAGATCACAGCTACAGTTTAGAGATCACAGTTTAGAGATCACGCTACAGTTTAGAGATCACAGCTACAGTTTAGAGTCTTCACAGTTTAGAGATCACAGCTACAAGTTGAGAGTTCATCACGCTACAGTTTTAGAGTTCACATCAGCTACAGTTTAGAGATCACAGCTACAGTTTAGAGATCACAGCTACAGTTTAGAGATCACAGCTACAGTTTAGAGATCACAGCTACAGTTTAGAGATCACAGTTTAGAGATCACAGCTACAGTTTAGAGATCACAGCTACAGTTTAGAGATCACAGCTACAGTTTAGAGATCACAGTTTAGAGATCACAGCTACAGTTTAGAGATCACAGCTACAGTTTAGAGATCACAGTTTAGAGTTCACAGCTACAGTTTAGAGATCACAGCTACAGTTTAGAGATCACAGTTTAGAGATCACAGTTTAGAGATCACAGCTACAGTTTAGAGTTCACAGCTACAGTTTAGAGATCACAGTTTAGAGATCACAGCTACAGTTTAGAGTTCACAGCTACAGTTTAGAGATCACAGCTACAGTTTAGAGATCACAGCTACAGTTTAGAGTTCACAGCTACAGTTTAGAGTTCACAGTTTAGAGATCACAGTTTAGAGATCACAGTTTAGAGATCACAGTTTAGAGATCACAGTTTAGAGATCACAGCTACAGTTTAGAGTTCACAGCTACAGTTTAGAGATCACAGTTTAGAGATCACAGCTACAGTTTAGAGTTCACAGCTACAGTTTAGAGATCACAGCTACAGTTTAGAGATCACAGCTACAGTTTAGAGTTCACAGCTACAGTTTAGAGATCACAGTTTAGAGTTCACAGCTACAGTTTAGAGATCACAGCTACAGTTTAGAGTTCACAGCTACAGTTTAGAGATCACAGTTTAAGATCACAGCTACAGTTTAGAGATCACAGCTACAGTTTAGAGTTCACAGCTTACAGTTAGAGATCACAGTTACAGTTTTAGAGATCACAGCTACAGTTAGAGATCACAGTTTAGAGATCACAGCTACAGTTTAGAGATCACAGCTACAGTTTAGAGATCACAGGTTTAGAGATCACAGCTACAGTTTAGAGATCACAGCTACAGTTTAGAGTTCACAGCTACAGTTTAGAGATCACAGCTACAGTTTAGAGATCACAGCTACAGTTTAGAGATCACAGTTTAGATTTCACAGCTACAGTTTAGAGATCACAGCTACAGTTTAGAGTTCACAGCTACAGTTTAGAGTTCACAGCTACAGTTTAGAGATCACAGCTACAGTTTAGAGTTCACAGTTTAGAGATCACAGCTACAGTTTAGAGTTCACAGTTTAGAGATCACAGCTACAGTTTAGAGATCACAGTTTAGAGATCACAGTTTAGAGATCACAGCTACAATTTAGAGATCACAGTTTAGAGATCACAGCTACAGTTTAGAGTTCACAGTTTAGAGATCACAATCACAGCTACAGTTTAGAGATCACAGCTACAGTTTAGAGATCACAGCTACAGTTTAGAGTTCACAGCTACAGTTTAGAGTTCACAGTTTAGAGATCACAATCACAGCTACAGTTTAGAGATCACAGCTACAGTTTAGAGATCACAGCTACAGTTTAGAGTTCACAGCTACAGTTTTAGAGTTCACAGTTTAGAGATCACAATCACAGCTACAGTTTAGAGTTCACAGCTACAGTTTAGAGATCACAGCTACAGTTTAGAGATCACAGTTACAGTTTAGAGTTCACAGCTACAGTTTAGAGATCACAGTTTAGAGATCACAGCTACAGTTTAGAGATCACAGTTTAGAGTTCACAGCTACAGTTTAGAGATCACAGCTACAGTTTAGAGTTCACAGCTACAGTTTAGAGTTCACAGTTTAGAGATCACAATCACAGCTACAGTTTAGAGATCACAGCTACAGTTTAGAGATATCAATGAAACTCTCAGGCTCCTCCTACAATAAAACACATCAAATAGAAATAGTGTAATAAGAGTCTATATTCAAGTAATTGGAATATGATATTAGATCAATAATGAGCAAGTTGCAAACAGATGAATGTTATGATGTTCTTTACAGAGTTCAGAGGCCTGTACTACGAAGCCGGTTCAACCTAACCTGGATATGTTTGAGTTAGCCGGTTGGCCCAATCCAAAACATACGCGCTCTGGCTAAGCTGTACTACGATGCTGGTTATCAAGTGGATCGCTCAAGCCAGCCGTGTCCTATCTAGTTAGGTGCGCGTTCACATGAAAGGGGTGGTATCTGGAGCATTCGACCAATCACAAACATGGACAACCGTACTGACAGCGCAGCGTCATACTTCCTGAATGAAAAGTGAACTCTAATATTAGTCAAATATGAAGAAGTTAAACTTTAAACATCCATGACTTAAACACTTTATCCAGGATCAAAGCCACATAGCTGCACCTGCAAGGTGAATACAGCTGGTAACAGAGAAAGTGTTTGAATGCGTACATTAACAGGTTTATGATATCACTGCCCCGTCTAAGACACGATCTGACTTTAATTACATTTGACTCGAGTGTTTCGTCAACTTAATGTGTTGCTTAAAATAATACTTCTGCATACAGTATGTGACACTGTGAGTGTTGCACGGCCAGATACGGCTCAGCTGACTCAGATAAGGAAATATATGATACATTATGATATGATATGAATGACAATGGGACACATCTACGTCTGCACTCACAGTGCCGCGGACTGTACGTAATGTTACTCTGATCCGGTTACTTATGTTGTGGCAGATATTTAAGTAAGCTTTCTTAACGCTAATGTTATAATAGTCAGATTGCTCTGAAGATGGGAGGAGGGGATATTCTATTAATGTTCACGTTCACACAGTCAGTTGATTTTTGCCGGCCGTCTTTCCTGCAACGGCAGTTTTTCTGTATTTCCTCTATCCTGTAATATGAATTGATCGCTTTAAACTCCGCACACTGAGCTCTGATTGGTCAGCAGGTGGTGCTTTGACTGAGTTGATCTCTTAGCCTGCAACCTAACCTCCTCCCGAGGAGGCTAGCCGCTCAGCATGAGTTACCATGGAGATCTAGCCCGCTAAAAAGAGAACCAGCGTCGTAGGACCGGAAAGCCCGAGTTTTCCCTGAAGTCAGCTAAGAGAACATCCGGCTTCGTAGTACAGGCCTCAGGAGTTTAACAGTCTGATGGTATCAGTGTTTAGTGGCTCTGCTGTAGCGTGTGCCTATTGAAGTGTGTGTGCGTGCGTGTGTGTGTGTGTGTGTGCGTGTGTGTGTGTGTGTGTGCGTGTGTGTGTGTTACCTTGGCAGAGCGCTCCATGGTGTAGGCGAGACCTGAGTGAACGATGTCTTTCTCCGACGCTCCCTGCAACAACACAAACATTAACACACAGAATCCACCTCGAAGTGTTTCACATTTCTTTCTCAAAATGTTCTGAGTTATTATTTCACAAACAATATTATCATTTTTTCACAATATTGTAAATGTTTCCTCAAAATGTTATTTTCTTTTAGATAGTCAGATTTTTTTTCTCCACAGGTGAACAGGTGCACAGGTGATCAGGTGATCAGGTGAGCAGGTGAACTCTGCCGTTTGTACTCACAGCGACGCGGGCCTGGAACTCTGAAGTGGGAACGATGGGAATCGCACCGCCGTGTTTCCCCAAACTTCCTCTCAAGACTCTCCTGTACCGACACTGTGGGGGGGGGGGGTGGGGGGGGGGGGGGACAGGTTAACGAGGGGGAAGTTAACGAGGGGGACAGGTTAACGAGGGGGACAGGTTAACGAGGGGGAAGTTAACGAGGGGGACAGGTTAACGAGGGGGACAGGTTAACGAGGGGGACAGGTTAACGAGGGGGAAGTTAACGAGGGGGAAGTTAACGAGGTAATAACTGCAACAGGAAGTACAGATTCTCAGGTACTCACTCAGCAGGTGGTAGTTTGAATCCCTCTCGTATTTGAAGGTGAGTCGGCCGTAACTGACGTGGTTCAGATTCTTCAACCATTCAAAGTACGACACCGTCACTCCACCTGCATTCAGGTACATGTCCTGAGGGGGGAGGAGACAAGGAGAGGAGACGAGGAGACGAGGAGGGGAGGAGGGGAGGAGACGAGGATAGAGATAAGGAGAGGAGACAAGGAGATGAGAAGATACAGGAAAAAAGGAACAAGGAGAGTGGGGAAGAATAAAATATGAACGTTATTAACACCTGATCCTCTGAAGTTAAACACTGAATAAAGTTAGGAAGTAAAATCATTTAAAATAAATAAATAAATAAATAATTAAATAAATTCAAAAGAGAATATGAATAATAAATAAACTAATCTAAATAAAGTATAATCCTGGTGAATGTTTCCTCACCGGGATCACCAGCACGTTTCTCTCCAGGAAGATGCGGTCGGCCTCGGGCGTCGTCGGCCCGTTGGCTCCTTCAGCGATGATCTGCAGCAGAAACTCAGTCACTGATGCATCATGGGAAATGTAGTCAGTGTGGTTACCTCAGATACATCTCAGGGTACATCAGATACCCAGAAACCATGGGAGATTACTAGACAATGTGTGTGTGTGTGTGTGTGTGTGTGTGTGTGTGTGTGTGTGTGTGTGTGTGTGTGTGTGTGTGTGTTTGCGTGTGTGTGTGTGTGCGTGTGTGTGGTGTGTGTGTGACCTTGGCTTTGATCTTGTGAGCGTTGCTCTTGGTCAGCTGCATCTCGCTGGCTGCAGGGATCAGGATGTCGCAGTCGGCCTCCAGGATGCTTCCCTCGTAGGGAGTGGAGTTTGGGAAACCTACGATCGTCCCGTTGGCCTGGAGACGCACGTAAATAAAAAAAGTTAAAAATACTCATATGGTAAAGTACAAAATTATATTTATATTGGACGACAAAAAGAAGCTCTAGAAAGACGCATAACATTCATTTTGGAAACCAATTGCACATATTTAAGATCAGAAAAAACATGTTTGGACAGTAATCTCCAGTCCTGACCAGTTTGTATTCCTCCAGCTCTTTGGGGTCGAGGCCTTTGGGGTTCCAGATGCTTCCGTCCATCTCTGCGATTCCAACGCACTTCGCCCCGAAACGGTGAAGATAACGCATCGTGTGCAGACCCACGTTACCGAAACCCTGCAGACAAGAGTCAAAGGGTTCAGGACTCATAATGCTGACTCATGTTCAGGACTCATAATGCTGACTCATGTTCAGGACTCATAATGCTGACTCATGTTCAGGACTCATAATGCTGACTCATGTTCAGGACTCATAATGCTGACTCATGTCAGGGTTGAGGACTCATAATGCTGACTCATGTCAGGGTTCAGGACTCATAATGCTGACTCATCTCAGGGTTTAGGACTCATAATGCTGACTCATGTTTAGGACTCATAATGCTGACTCATGTCAGGGTTTAGGACTCATAATGCTGACTCATGTCAGGGTTTAGGACTCATAATGCTGACTCATGTCAGGGTTGAGGACTCATAATGCTGACTCATGTCAGGGTTTAGGACTCATAATGCTGACTCATGTCAGGGTTTAGGACTCATAATGCTGACTCATGTCAGGGTTTAGGACTCATATTGCTGACTCATGTTTAGGACTCATAATGCTGACTCATGTCAGGGTTTAGGACACATATTGCTGACTCATGTTTAGGACTCATAATGCTGACTCATGTTTAGGACTCATAATGCTGACTCATGTCAGGGTTTAGGACTCATAATGCTGACTCATGTGAGGGTTTAGGACTCATATTGCTGACTCATGTTTAGGACTCATAATGCTGACTCATGTCAGGGTTTAGGACTCATAATGCTGACTCATGTCAGGGTTTAGGACTCATAATGCTGACTCATGTCAGGGTTTAGGACTCATAATGCTGACTCATGTTCAGGACTCATATTGCTGACTCATGTCAGGGTTCAGGACTCATATTGCTGACTCATGTCTTTAGAACTCATAATGCTGAGTCATGTCTTTAGGACTCATAATGCTGACTCATACCTGGATGATGAAGGTCTTGTCCTGGAACCCAGGCGTCAGGCCGATCTGACTCATGTACGACGCCTCGTTGATGAAGTTCTCGATGCCGTGGAAGACTCCTCTCCCGGTGGCAGAGATTCTGCCGTGGATCCCGCCCTGACTGATGGGCTTCCCGGTGACACAGGCGCTCGCATTGATGTCCTGAGAGAGAGAGGACAGCTTTAAAAGTCTTTAAAGAGTGACTGAAGACCTTTAAACAGGTCAGAGACTCCGTCCTGCAGATCCAGAGTCAGATATCCTGCCAGAAAGAGATCTTAAAGAGGCTTCTTCTCCTTCCTGGTGAAGCTGTTTCTGAGTCTGGTGGTTTTAATAATGATAATATGAGTGTGATAGCTCTGGTCTCACGTTGTGTCCCATGGTGGTGGAGTAGGTGTCTGCGATCCAGGACATCTCCCGCTCTCCGGTGCTCATATCGGGGGCGGGAACATCGATGCCCGGCCCTACGCACATTAAATACACAACATTTAATACAAGAATAATAATAATGCTTCTTTTATAAGGCACTTTTCATGCAAGAGAAGCAGCGTTACAGGAAAATGACGATGCGTTATCAAATGTTTAATATCAGAGCTTCTCTAACCGATGAAGCCTTTCTTAGCGAGCTCCACGGTGAACCGGCGCGTGATCTTCTCCAGCTCGTTGTCCTGAAAACACACAGAGACAACTCTATGATACAAAGACAACTCAATCTTACTCTGTGTGTCTGTCTGTCTGTCTGTCTGTGTGTCTGCCTGTCTGCCTGTCTGTCTGTCTGTCTGTCTGTGTGTCTGTCTGTCTGTCTGTGTGTCTGTGTGTCTGTGTGTCTGTGTGTCTGTGTGTCTGTGTGTCTGTCTGTGTGTCTGTGTGTCTGTGTGTCTGTGTGTCTGTGTGTCTGTGTGTCTGTGTGTCTGTCTGTGTGTCTGTGTGTCTGTGTGTCTGTGTGTCTGTGTGTCTGTGTGTCTGTCTGTGTGTCTGTGTGTCTGTCTGTCTGTCTGCGTGTCTGTGTGTCTGCGTGTCTGTCTGTCTGTGTGTCTGTCTGTCTGTGTGTCTGTGTGTCTGTGTGTCTGTGTGTCTGTCTGTGTGTCTGTGTGTCTGTCTGTCTGCCTGTCTGTCTGCGTGTCTGTGTGTCTGTGTGTCTGTGTGTCTGTGTGTCTGTCTGTGTGTCTGTGTGTCTGTGTGTCTGTGTGTCTGTGTGTCTGTCTGTGTGTCTGTGTGTCTGTCTGTCTGCCTGTCTGTCTGCGTGTCTGTGTGTCTGTGTGTCTGTCTGTCTGTGTGTCTGTCTGTCTGTGTGTCTGTGTGTCTGCCTGTCTGTCTGCGTGTCTGTGTGTCTGTCTGTGTGTCTGTGTGTCTGTGTGTCTGTGTGTCTGTCTGTCTGTCTGCGTGTCTGCGTGTCTGTCTGTGTGTCTGTGTGTCTGTCTGTCTGTCTGTCTGCGTGTCTGTGTGTCTGTGTGTCTGTCTGTCTGTCTGTGTGTCTGTGTGTCTGTCTGTCTGTCTGTCTGTC